AAAGTAAAAATAAAAACAGGGCTGGGCATGTAACTCAGTGTGCTCTGCTTTCAGTCTCCAGTGCTGGAAAAAATGACAATGTTGTGTTCATGTATATAGTTCTGTGCAGTTCACAAATTATTCTAATCCACTCATTAGGAAATGCAGCATAAGCTCTACCTCCCAAATATTTAGTTAAGTTGAAGAGTTATTGAGATGTCACTGTGCATAAGACTGGAAGAAACTTTAAATCATTTTAGAGCAGTGACAGTTGCCTTTCTGTTGCCTCTCCAGTGGCACAGCAGTATCCATATGGACCACAAGTTGTGGCATTGACAGCCACTCTGGCCTACCCTAAAGGACATGTGGATAGGCCACCTTTCTGTGAAGCTAAGCAAGTATGATTGTGAATAATTATACCAAAAATCAGTTATGCAGAAAATTACTACATTTATTTAAACTAGAGCCTCCAAACTGAAAGCTAAACTTATCCTTACTTAGACCTCTGGCCTTGTGAGCTTTTGCTGGTTTGTTCATTGGTCTGGTGGTTGTTCAGAAAGTCTTTTTTTTTTTCAGAGAGTTTTTCTATATCTAGTACATGGTGAAAAAGAAAATTACTCAGAGATAATACTGGGATTTCCTCCAGATAGAGCCAAGTTATATGTATTTGAAGATATTAAAGCTGTATTTTTTAATCCCAAAGTAATTTTTTCACCAATTTTCAGATGCACTCCATTCTACCATTATAAATGCATTTATTCCTTCGTGAGTTTGCATTAACTTCACATTTTACCCATGTGTTTTCTTTCAGTTGATCTTGCTGTTTAGTCTAATTTTCATTGTCCTAGATTTAGTCCATAAATTCAAATTTCTAATTCAAGATACATATGAAAACGTGTAAGATGATAATACCATAATTATCACTGTAAACTTTGCATTAAATATGATATACACATAAAAATACAGAGCATAATTCTGCAGCTCAATGAATTTCATGAGCTAAACATTCATTTAACTACCCCCCAGATCAAGAATTAGAATATTACCATACCCCACACTCCCAGAAGCCCTCTTTCTACTTGCTTTTTGCCAGTTTTTGAACTTCATATAAATAGAATCCTACAGTATATATTTGAGACTGGATTGTTTAGTTCATCATTATAGATGTTAGATCCATCCATGCTGTTGCACATAGTACATTAATTTTCAACTGTGTCATAATTCGTTGCTTGAATGTTCCACAATTTATCCATTCTATTCTCAATGTATATTAGGTTTCCAATTTTAAGCTATTAGAAAAAAAGCTGTTATGAATATTTTTATTCATCTTTTGGTGTGTTAAGTTTTTACTTAGTGGATTTGCTAAGTTACAAGGTCCGGCCATACCCTATAACAGTAATGATAAACCACTTAGAGCTTTGAATGATAACGTTTCACCACCACTCCCCTGTGACTGTAGTATCTGTTGCCAAAGTAGTTGTACCAATTCACAGTCCCACCAGTGGTGTATGAGAAATGTGTTTGCTCCATTTCCTTACCACCAACTAGTATTGTCAATTTTGAATCAGTCTTTTTAAAGTTTAGCCATTCTGGTAGATAATAGCAATTGTGATCTTGATTTCTGTAATAACTAATAAGGTTAAGAGACTTTTAAAATTTATGGACTGGGGGGATAGAGAACAATGGATTCACCAGCTAATACGCCCATTCTGGGAACCAGCACCATGTCTTGGGCTGCTGCTAGACTGCAAACAGTTAGGCCCAAGCCTCTCCCTGTGAGTCAGCACCATTTGAGGACTACAGGGAGAGAGAATAATGGGCGCATCAGCATACAAGCCCAGTGTGGGAACCAGCGCAATACGTGGGCTGCTGCTGGACTAGGAATGCCAGACCCCAACCCCTTCCTGCAAGTGTTCTGGCAAACAAGTACTGACCACCCACTACTCCTCCAAAGTGACTAGCTTATCTGGAGAAGCGCAGGCTGTGATGATAGCTATCTAGGTGAAGTATAATTGGATGCCTGTAGTGCTTTGGTGTTTCACTAACATTGCAGGACTAGGGCCAGTGTCTGATCATGGGTTCAGAGGATAACGGTAGGCAGTGTGACATCTAGGGGGATCTCCTTCTGAGGGTTGCAGCCATTGTTGACTCCCTGTGGTCTTGTTTTGAGATCCTGTATCATTTCCATTGTTTTGTTGGGTTGGGTTTTATTCTCTTTTGTTTTGTTTGATTATGTTAAATCCAATGGCAGATGAAGTTATTTCAAGGATAGCAAGATACGTTAGTAATTTTGGATTTTTACTATTGGCTTGTTTTGAAATCCTTTATTGCCTTCATTGTTTTATTTTTATTTCTATTCTGTTCTGTTCTGTTGGATTTTTACTATGTCCGAAGTTATCTATAGCTACTTTGAAGACATCAAAAGGCATTGTGGTAACTATTGTTGATTTCATGTTTTGAAGTTCTGTATCCCTTATACTGGTTTGTTTTGATTGGTTTTATAATGTTTTATCCTCAATAAAAAATTAAAAAGACTTTTAAAGTTCATTTGCTACTAGACATGATTGTACACACCTATAATTCTGGCAATCTGGGAGACTGAGGCAATTCAAGCCCACCATGGAAAATTTTCTTACACAAAGAACGTGACTCAAAAAGTGAAAAAGGGCTAGGAATGTAGCTTAGTGCAAAGGTTTTAAGTTGTCTCCAGGAACTAAAAAAAAAAAAAAAAAAAAACCATTGTCTTACAAATAATCTTGTGAAACGTCTACTTAATTGGACTTTTTCTAATTGATTTAAGGGTTTACTGTATATTGTAGATGTAAATCCTTTGTCATCCCTATGCATTGTCTATATGAGTATGTAATCTATATGCAGTATCATCTGTTCCTTGGATTGCCTTTTTACTCTTTTAATTTTGTCTTTTGATTATCAAAAGTCCATTTATTTTTGTCTCATCCTTTATGGTTAATGGCATTTGTATTTTATTTGAAGTATCTCACCCCCATGGTTATAAATATATTCTCCTTTGTTTGCTTCCAGAAGTTTAGTAAACACATTAACTTAATTCAAAAACTTCTATAGTGTTACCTTGTTCCATATGCAGCTTGAGGCAATTGAGATAAACTGTTAGCTATGAGTAGACTTTTTAGAGAAAAGTATATCTTGAAAAAATGGGTATTTTATACTTAACTTGTGTCCACATACCAATAAAGCACAACATTTTTAATCTCACAGTCTGGAGACTTTATATGTGTGCCTTGTCCTTTTCAGCTGGGTTCATTTCACTTGAATGCACACTATTTAAAGATTCTGCATTTTCTTCAGTTTGTTACCTTTGACTCTAAAAAAATCCATGTAGTAGAAAAATTAGTGTGTAAATATGTATAGTTGTTAACTTTATTCAAGATATATTATTTGGTATCATAGGCTTTTAAAAGAATTCTTAGGGGCTGGGGATTTAGTTCAACAGTGTAAGCGCCTGCCTGGCAAGCATGAGGTCGTGAGTTCGATCGCTGGTACCAAAAAAAAAAAAAAAAAGAATTCTTAGAAGAAAATATCTATAGAATAAACTATGCCTATGTATATATGTATATAACATGTATTCACAGGAATGTTTATGAATCCTTTTACATAAGTAATGACTTTAGGGTAAAGAAAATACAGAAATCTTCAAGAGACATGATTTTCATTATTTTATGATGATTATGTGGGTCTTGTTACTTTCTTTTTCTCTTTATTTAGATTACCTACCCTGTTCTTTAAAATTTCCAGAGAATAATAATCGAGATATCCTCCTAGTTATATTTTCTGATGCCTCCTCTGGTATTTAAACCATCAATTGTTGGCACAAAAAGCTTCCATATTTTTCTCTTGTTTCCTTGCATTGGACACTTGGGTGTCAAGACAGGATAAAAGGCAATATAAATTCACTCAGGCCTGCTGGAGAAGTTGATGGAAGAATAGGAATCTTTCATCCTATTTTGTTACCCTGGCTCATACCTATGGTTGATATTGTTTATGGTTGGAAAATGCCTTGAGTTTGTATAATTCCTTAGCCTCTTGGCTTTAACTTATCTCCATTATGAAAATAAATAATAAATACTTAGTCACTAAGTATCAAACACCTGTTTTTTAGTGTTCGCTATAATCAAACTTTATTTCATATATCAGTAGTTGTAAGTTTGGTGTTATTTTATCATAATTTATTATTGTCATTCCTCTATTTTCTTTTTTTTCTTTTTCTCATCACTGGAGATTAAATCCAGGACCTTCACACTGAGCTACATTTACCCAGAACTTTTTTTTTGAGACAGGGCCTTGCTACATTGCTGAATTGTTCAGACTGAGCTTGAATGTTCCATCTTGCTGCTTCAGCTTCCCTCAGAGCTAGGGTTACAAGCATGTGCCACTACCTCAGATATCTCACTACCTTTAATCTAAAAATCTGAACCTTATATCTGTCTAGGACTGTACAAGAGAGTAGCAGGAAATTAAAACAGACTGATGTGAGTCTGAAGCCTGCACTCTGTACCCAGAATATAGTATTGATTCTATGGCAGAAAATCACAGATTTTGCTAAAATATATCTTTGGTATGGGATTTGGCTGTTCCACTGTACAGGTAACACCATCTCCCAGGTTTCCCTTTCTGAATATACTTGGCGACCTCTGTGCAAGAGCACACAATACTGCTACAATATTTTATTAGAATGAACAGTAGGTTTCAGGATCCATGAGGGTGAATGAAACATACTATTTTTAATCATTGAGCCACAGCACATAAAAACTGAATTTGAAGAACCATTTGCTTTTTTTTAAACCAGAGATTGAACTCGTGCTTACCATTTGCTTTCTAGAAGGGTATCCGCCATACCACTCAGCAAGCAAGATGAGGCATATACCCAGGGGAGAGAGAGTATCTAGCTTTACTGTATGACTTAGTGCCATTGGATCCATCCAGTCAATGCTTGGACCCTACTGATTTTTGACCATTATCAGTGTCTTCTCTTGCTTCTCTAGGATTATAGCTGAAAAGGAAAAGGAAGTTCTCTTTGTCCGACCCCGGAAATACATCCGTTGCTCCAGCCCAGAGACCACAGAGCCTGGCTACATCAACATCCTGGAACTGGCAGCATCCACATGCCGCTATGACCTAGATGACATGGACATCTTCTGGCTTGAAGAATTTAATGAGGACCTCACAGAAATGGGTAAGTTGTTTTCTCATAAGTGAGTTGAGCTTTGACTCAACTCGCAAATTTTTTTAAATTGTTAAGACCTTTAAAACATATTTTCTTTCATCTTGTTGCTTTCCTTTCTTTTCTAGCCTTTTCATTTTTCTCTTAGATCTTAATGAGATATTCCTTCAAATGCTTACATATATTGAAATAGAACAATAACATTTAAGTCTGATCTTTCTTTCCTCATTTAAGGTAAGTAGCACAGATCACGGATGGCACATAGATTTTGTGAGTTCTGAGTCTAAGCGTGGCTGTGGCTGATTGGATTTCTAGTTAAGAAGAATTCTGAAGCCAGTTGTGCTGGCTCAGCCCTGTAAATCACTCTGATCAGTGAGCAGGTCCAAGAATACAGGTGCATCTGCCAAGAATTTGAAAAGAAGCTCCAGCGTCAGCTTTGGGAAACATCACTGCAACTGACAAGTTTCTGTGACCAGTGTCCCTTAATGCAAGACTTAAAATTTTGCTATTTGGAAGGAAAATGGCAGATCCACGAGAATCATGCCCCAAGCAGTACTTAGCTACCAGTGAGTAAAAAATGAAGCAAAACCAAGCCAACAAAAAAAAAAGCCTTGAAAGTAAGCATAATTTTAAGGTGAATGTTACCAACAGTTCTAGAAAATGCTACAGGAAAGTCACTTTATATTTACACACAGCTCTTGTTTACTTGTTTTCAGTCTAAGCATTTTGGTCAAGTTTTCCTGTAGAACTATGGGTAACTTTTAAGTCTCTACATGATATACATTTGATTTTTGTTTTTGTCTTTTTTTGAGACAGGATCTCACTATGTGGTGCAGGCTGGCCTTGAACTTATGGTGATCCTCTTGCCTCAGCCTCCTGAGTGGTAATATTATAGACATGTATCACCCCACCCAGCTGATTTCATTTCAGTTTGAGTCACGTTTGTTCATTGTCAGCACTAGGATGGACTGTTTTCCTCCCCTCTCCCATTTTTTTCTTTCTTTTGAGGCTGGTATCTGAATGCACATGAAAAAAATAAATTATATTAAATCCACATTGACATGGCAATAATAGTTATCTTGCCAGTGACCAACCCTTGTTCTGTGCTTTTTAAAACTTTGTTTTATGTCTTCTTCAGTCCTCAAAGGGGAAATAAGTTGTCAATTTAAGGTAGGAACCAAAAGATAAGGGAATACAAGACTGACAGGGATAGAAAATCATAATATGAGGACACACTCAAATGGATTGATGGTCCAGTATGCAGTTGTGCATAGGAAGCATATAGCATCTGTAGATCCTATAATCATCACAACATTGCTTTGTGCCATGAAACCATATTATAGCTATAATAAGGTCCCTTTGATATTTTGCAATTAATTCTCATTGGAATTATTTCATTTTCAAGTAGACTTTTTATTTTGGAATAGCTTGATTTACAGAAAAGTTGCCCATTGAGTATAGAGCTCACATATGCACCTCACCCAGTATCAGTTCCCCTAATATTAGCATCATACTTGGCTGTAAGATGTTTGTCAAAACTAAAAATACTATGTAACTACTAAATAAACTCTAGGCTTTATTGGACTTTTAGTTATTTCCACTAGTGACCATTTTTGTTCTAGGATCCCACATTGCGTTGGAAAAGTTTTAAAAACATATCCTACCTCAGGATTTCCTTTAGGGTAAATAATATTATAGTGACAATCCTAAAAGCTTAAAAAATTGAGTATTTTTTGAATTAGATTAAGGAATTTTAAAAAAAAATTATTTTTTTTGGTACCAGGGTTCAAACTCACATGGCCTTGCGCTTACCGGGCAGGCACTTTAGCCACTGAGCTAAATCCCTAGCCCCTGAAATTTTAAAATTGAGAATTTACTACATGTGAGGCACCATACTAAGTAGTGTGCAAACATCATCTCATCCTTATGACAAATCAGTGTACTTAGCTGGGTATGGTGGCACATGCCTGTAATCCCAACATTCAGGAAGTTAAAGCAGGAGCATCCAAAGTTCAAGCCCAGCATGGGCAATTCAGTAATTTAGCAAGACCTTCTCTCAAAAAAATCAAGGTAATTTCAGAATTGGCTTGTTAGACCTTTGTGAATGTTAATAGGTTTGTATTTGTTTGCCTTTGAAAAATACCAGTGGATTTTTAAAAAGTGAGATTTGAAAAAGAGTATTTCACTTTTATAATCACATGCACATAGTACCTGAAACTTTCTTTTCTGACTTAATACATTTTTGTATGAAAATTTCCTTATATAACCAGTAGATGTGCTTATTGAAGCTAATTTTCTAAGATTAAATTATTCATGTCCAAATAGTTACATGCTTTAGTTATTTTGTTATGGTGCAAATCATTGTTCATAATTACAAAGTTTGGTGAAAGTCCTCCTACTATGGGAATGAGAAAATCAAGAGTTCTAATAGAGGATGGGTAAGAATTTAGACAAAAATGGAAAGGATCAGTAATCTTGTAAGGAATGTCGTGAAATATATTATCTCCTTTCATGTGTCAAATGTGAATGTATTTTTATAGGTAAATGTTAGAGTATCTCTAGTATAAGATTGTGTGAAATCTGGTTGTTTTGGAACAGAGAAAATATTATTTTATCCTTTAGAATCCCACCCATGCCTGCATTGGATTCACAGTAAGTGATATGAGGATGACAGCTTAGTGGTGGGTTGATCGATTGTTTGTATTTCTGTGCAGGTTATGGGCCAGTTGATGAGACCCTTATGGAAAAAACAATAGAAGTCCTGGAACGTCATTGCCATGAAAATATGAACCATGCTATTGAGACAGAAGAAGGGCTAGGCATAGAATATGATGAAGATGTGATCTGTGATGTGTGCCAGTCTCCAGACAGTGAAGAAGGGAATGATATGGTATTCTGTGATAAGTGTAACATCTGTGTGCATCAGGTTAGTGAAGAGTGGAGATTGCCACCTCCCCACGGTCAGCCTTTTTGAAGTTCAGTGATAATCTCCAATATCCATATCTGCATAGCACCTTGTATTTAAGGGTAAAAATAAAAATTTGAATGGATGTTCTTCAGTATTTCCTCTACATATAATACTTACGGTCCTCAAGTTGTCTTACCTATTAACTTCACCCCAGCAGGTTAACCCAGGTCTTTATTGTGTCATTTTCATGCCAAGACTATTGAGAGTGCCTTGTTCAGTTCCCCTGTCCCATGGTCCGCATGCTGCCTGGCCAGGAGTCTCTCTTCTACCCTAGAATTGCTATGACATCATCAGGTTGCATTCACGGACATATAGAAGACCAGATTCTATCTTGGTACTCAGAGCCCTCCCTATCCCCAAATGTATCACCCCCAAGAAGCTAAGTCCACCCCACTTTTAGAGATCACAAAATTTTAGGGCTCACAATGACTACCTCCTTAGTTTTACATACCATACCAGGAAAAGTTAAATAACTTTACTCAAGCTAGATATTTGTCATTCCACATAGCATCCTGACCTTTAATTGTGATGATGATTACAGCAGGCTTGGTGGCACACACCTGTAATCCCAGCACTCAGTAGGCTGAGGTAGGATCTTTTTTTTTTTTTTTTTTGAGGCCAACCTGGGCTATATAATGAGCTCAAGGTCAGTTTGAACTACATAGTGAGAGCCTATCTCGAAAAAATGGTGATGCTGATTATATCAACACTCATTTCAACCTTTTCCTTCTCACTTCCATAAGCCCTGTGCTCCAGAAAAATAGTTATTGAGGTGCAATGATGAATATTTCTGGTACTATCCTGTCTCTATCTTTCAGCCATTTCCCAATTTTACTGCTCTGTCTGTATATTTTATCTATCTCTCAATTTCAGAATGTCTTCTCCTACCTCCAGCCATCAAAAATCTATATACTTTCCAAATTCTAGTTCAAATTCTTTCTTAACCTCTCTTACCCTTATTCTACAAGAGGTGATCAAAATATATGGTATTTAAAAGTTTTTTAAATGTAGTACAGTAAAATATTTATTGCTGTTGATCCCACTCAAAATATTCCACCTCACTTTAGACACATGTACCATTCTTGCCACTTTCTGAAACAGTTCTGAAAGTCCTTTTTCTTTAGTGTCTTCAGAAGGCATGATCAAAAATATAGTGAATGCTGCTCCCAAGTGCCATCCAATGAAAAGGCAGGATTGTAAAAACATTACAGTGTATTCTCATCCACCTTATTTATTGAATCTGACACTGTTCAACTTCTGGCTTGTCCCAAAAGTCAAAATGACTGTAAAAGGGTAAACATTTTCAATCAATTCAGGACATCACAGCAGCCACAAAAGTGCAGCTAAGGACATGAAAGAAGACTTTCAGAACTGATTGAGAAAATACAATAATGGGATGAGTGTGTTCAAAGGAAAAGTATTTTGAGGGGGATTATGGTGATATGTCTTTTATTGTAATAAATTTTTAATGTAACATTCATTATATTTTTCACTCTTCTGAACCTGTTTTGTGTTTCAGTCATATCAGTAATTTATCCAGCAAAGACTGTAGCTACTCAGCACCATCCATGAGCCAGAACTATGCTGAGGACACAGTCAGTGATGAAGAGACAGATATACATCTGTTCCCAGAAAAAGCATAGTCTAATGTGAAGACTATAAGGAAAATGCTAATTCATCCAAGTGGTGCTTTTCTAGCTATAAATTCATACTAATATAGAATTACATAGGAGGGACAGGGTCAAAAATGACTTCAGGAAATGGTATCGAAACTAAATCTTAATGGCTGAAAGGAGATGTCAAACCAGCAAGGTATGTTTGGGAGAGGGGAGAATATGTTCATAGGGTTATCAAGATTGGATATATACATTGGAGGTAGCTCTGAGTACTTCAGAAATGTGGGGTAGGGAAGTCCTGAAGACTCAGGATAAAAAAGGACACAAAAAACACATGTGGCCAGCCACGGTGACACATGCCTATAATCCTAGCACATGGAAGGCTGAGGCAGGAGCATTGCTGTGAGTTCAAGACCTGCCTGACCTGTAGTGAGACCTTCTCTCAAACCTCCCCCCCAAAGTGAAGTACTCACTGATAAACTAAAACTTCCGTTTTATCTTGTAATGCTGAAAGATATCATATGATTTGTATTTTAGAAAGGTCATTCTGGCTAAAATATAGGAGACAGAGAGCAGCCAGAGCTTAAGACTCTTAATTCCTTAGGCCACCTAACCCTCTGTATGTAGAAGATATTGAGAATTCTCTGTGACCAGTTTAGTCTTTTTATCTGCTTGCATCTTTTAAAATAGGGAATTTTGAAAATTTATCTTCATTCTACTAGTTATTGACATATATATTGCACTTTCTGTAAGAGCAAGAAATATTTCCTATTTATCTATGAACTTAATCTTCTGATGATATAGATTCTCAGTCCCTTCGCAATTCCAAAATTCTGCAAACTACACTGTGCGTGTGTGGAGTAGTGGAGCTCAAACTTGGAGCACTGTACCATTGAGCTACATCCACAACCCTTTTTTATTTTTTTGAGGCAGGATCTCATTAAGTTGCCCAGTCTGGCCTTGAATTTACAGCCCTACTGCCCCAGTGCTGGAATTAGGACATGCACCATCATGCCTGGTACCACACTTTTTCCTTGCCAGAACTGATTTAGGGATGATACTAAATTTTACCCTGGGGGCTGGGGATTTAGCTCAGTGGCATAAGCGCCTGCCTTGCAAGCAGACAGTCGTGAGTTTGATCCCCGGTACCGGGAAAAAGGAAAAAGACAAAAAAATAATAATAAAAATAAATAAATAAATTTTACCCAATATGAGGCCATTTATGGCCTTTATCAATTTTTTATAAATATTCATATATTTTGTGAGAGAAACATTAATGTATTTAATTATGTAGTTCTACCAGGGGTTAGGTAGTATATAAAAAATATACTGTATTACTTTCCTAAGATCTGAACAATTGTGAATTTTCTGTTTCTCACTATAGGGATGCCAGATAAATAATTGTGAATCTGCAGTAAAGCTTAAATGGAGTAGAACAAAGGGTCATTTGAATATACTTTCTATATTTGTTCTTTATAGTTGGGACAAAATATTAAGGGATTATTTTTAGGCTCTTTGACTAGTAAAACTAAATGTAGCATAATAATTCTCCCTAGGATTATATCATCTCTTTTAAAAACATATAGGGTAATGACTATAAATGATGCCCTTTCCTTTCATAGAGATAGTGTTAACAACTGGCCAGACCTTGCAGAATGTAAACTGGTATATATTAAAACTGGAAATTATAGGTGGGTGTTGTAGGGCGTATCTGTAATCCCAGCACTTGAGAGGCTGAGGCAGGAGGATCACTGTGAGTTCAAGGCCAGCCTGAACTGCACAGTGAAACCCTGTCTCAAAAAAACAAGACAAAAATCAAGCTGAAAATTGGTGCCATATGAAGTTTCGTATAAGTCTGCCAAAGTATGTTGGCTTGCATCCTAAAGAGCTACTTAGGTTAGAGCTCCCTCTGTTGGCTAAAAAGTAAAAAAGTGATTTGGAAGATTTGGTGTGGAATACTGACAATGAATTTATTAAACATAATTTTTTTCTCCATATAATGTTCAGTGTTTGTTCCTCAGTAACAAAAATACACTCATGGTCCGTACTTTGGAAAAGAAATGTTTATCAGTAAACTAGATTTTAATATTTAACTTGAATTATTTTCTTTTAAAAAAAGACCTCTTGGCATGGTGACATATACTTGTAATCCTAGCAATAAAGAGGCTAAGGCAGGAGGATTGCTGAGTTCAATTTTGCACTACATATTGAGATCCTGCCAAAAAAATTCCAAGTCCCTTTATGTGTACCCATTTTTTCCTTAGTCCAAATATTAAACACTCAGAATATGATTGAAGTTTATGTGCCCAAGATATATACTCATAGTTTTTATGTCATGAATATAATACTTGACACTTAGTTTGTTAGTCCCCTAGTATCTGTGTGCTGTTTTCTTAAGAGAATCCACAGTCTTCACCATTTCATGGTCCATGAAAGAACCACTGCTATGGGCTGGGGATTTGACTCAGGGGTATAAGCGCCTACCTGACAAGTGTGAGGTCATGAGTACAATCTCTGGTACCTCAAAAAAAAAAAAAGAATCACTGCTATGAAATTCAAGCTTTTATGATTTTATGCCTATGTGTAAGTCTACAAATGGCTCAGTAAATGATTTTGTACCCAATAGAATCTCCAGGAGATAAGTGACTTTCTTAGAAGAGGGCACTGGCCTTTCTTCTGCCAGTTAGAAAGCAGATCTATTTTTTTTTTATTTTAAAGAGGGTAAAATTAAACACAACAAAACAGAACATAGGAAAGAATGTAAGATACATAAATTTCAAAGCAAGACAACCAGAGATCTTCACTATCATATTGTCTCTTGTGTTCTTCCAAATACTTGTCCGTATCTTTACATACAGAGAATTCATATAAAACAACATAGTATAAAACTGATCTGAACAGAATGATTCAAGGCGTTTTAGGTATTCAAGACTAGACAATAGGGAAGTCAACAGTGGCTGTCATAGTGTCTCTCATTCTCTTCAAAATAGCTGACTATACCTTCACATATGTTGAAATTAAACAAAACAAAACAGACTAAAATCACTCTGAACAAAGAATAATAATATTGCTAGATTTCACATCATGACATTACAGAATCAGCACTAGGTACCGTAGTGTCTCTTTGTCTTCAAAGTAGTTGTTAATTTCATCATGCGTTATGTAATGAGTTCTCATAAACTGTTTATAAGTTCTATGCATGCATGAGTCTCTATATCTACCCTTGCTGTACTAGAGGGAAAAACAAAACAAAGCAAGACAAAACAAATTCCTAGAAAAACATGAAACAAAAGTAATATAAAATCACAATACAAGGTGATCTACAACATTTACTATGATAGCTCTTGTTATATTCAATAGAATTGCCTATATCATCAGGTATAGTATAATTGAATATAACAGTACATAACAATATTAATAAAAAACATTAGAGACATTGTAAGACTTCAAAAGCAGGTAATAATCAAATCAGAGTGGGTATCCTAGTGAATCTTGTCATCTTCAGTGTAGTTGCCTATACTCTTCAGTGTGGTTGCCTATACTCTCAGACTTGATACTGTCAATCATAGCAGATTCGAATAAAATCAGTCAATACAAAACAGCAGTCTAACAAACCAGATTCAAATAAGGTCAGTCATGATAAGACAGTGTAAGTTATACAGGGCTTCAGATTAAGTTAATAGGAAATTAAGGATGATTACTGTACTATATCTTGCTATTTTGGGGATAGCTGTGCCCTCAAATCTACTACAAGTAGACAAACTAGAACAGAATATAATCCATGTAACAGAGTGGTGAGAGTAATGTGTGTTTTAAATCCTGATACATTATTAACAATATCCTCCGCCTTCCTTTTTTAGACAGTTTCTCCTCTTTCATTTCCACAGAGTGCACTGCGCATTTTGGGTCCCACCAACTCTCTCAGTTTTTAGATTGGGGCAGGGGAACTTGCTATTTCCCTAAGGGGTTCTGAACCTTTTTACCCCTGAACTTGATCTTGAGCTGTATTCCTTTACCTACTAAAGCCTCAAGCTTCCTTATAGCTGAGTTGTTCTCCACTGTACAAAAGTGTCATGTCTTTCCAACCTATCTTCAGCTGCTGGACAAGCTGTCCCTATTTCTCTTTGTCACATAGAGCATTGTTTTCTCATCTTTGACTTTCACTTTATTAACTCTCTTTCAGGTTGATTATATTTCCTATTCATACCATCTCGCTGGACCCTATCTCCTGATCTACTCTGCCTGTGTTTCTTTTTGTTAGTGTATCAAGGCCATCTATGTTAAGAGATTATAGCCAACTTGATTTGGTGGTTTGTGTTGAGAAGTCTGCCGTTATATTGATGGATTTTCCTTTATAGGTGATCTGTTTTTTTCTCTGATGGCTTTTAATATTGTGTTCTTGTGATGAATTTCTGGAATCTTGATTATTACATGTCTGGGTATAGCTCTGTTTTGGTTATAAGTGGCTGAAGTTCTGTATGCCTCATACATCTGCATATCATTTCCTTTTCCTATGTTTGGAAAGTTTTCCTTAATTATTTCTGTGACTAACCTTTGTATTTCATTTGTGTTTATCCCAGCTTCTTCACTCATTTTTTTTATTCTTAAGTTATAGATCCTCTTGTCGTCTTCTAGCCTTTGTATTGTTATTTTTATTGTTATTTTATTATTTTATTTTATTATTTATTATGTTATGTTATTTATTGTTATTTTTAAGAGATCTTTCCTTTTACAATCAGACATTGCAAACCTATCTTCATGTTTTGTTAATCTATCTCTAGTTTCTGTCAGGCAATTTTTCCAGCTTTCAGTGGAGTTTTTAATTTTCTGGCAATCTCTTTGAATCTGTTTCATGTATTCTAGGTTTTCTTTATATTCTTCATCGAATGTTTCTCTCCTTTTTCTGTGTTCCTCCATTCTTTCATCTGTGTCTTCTTGAGAGGTGCTTAGCGTTTTTTTATTAATCTTCTTATATCTTGCTTTACTTGAATTAATATTTCAGTTTTAAGCTCGTCTATGATGTCACAAAGATATCTCTTTATGTCAGCTGATGCCGTGTCTGATATTGCATTTTTACTGCCCTCAATCTCTTCTGTATTCACCTCTTCTGGATCAATATTTGCAGGTTTGGGGGCTGGAGGCTTTTTCTTATTTCTTTCTCTTGTCATGTTTTTGGTTTCTTCCATACAGGTGTATAGTGGAGATCCCAGCCCCTGTCCTTGTTGGTTATGGTTCTTCTGAAGCATGATAGCTGGGGATTTCTGCCCTATCCAGTTTGCTGTTGGTCATTGAGGTGCAAGCAGGGCAGCTTATGCAGGCCCCTCCCCTCCCAGCCAGTCAACCTGCAGGGGCCTGCACCAGTTAGTGTGTGCCGGGCTTATGGAATCGGTTTGGGACAACTTATCAGGCCCCCACCAGGAGCACAACCCAGGCCAAGCAGATCCCACCAATCTGCTCTAGGCAAGGAGCTACCAACTGAAGTCACTGCCATTCCTCTTTGTTCATGCCTGCCCTGCCTGATTCCAACATATTGTCCCTTTCCTGTGGGAGGATCTTATTCCAAGCATTCACCATGGGTTAGTGCAGGCCTCCACACCTGCTCTGTTCTCTGTTGGGCTCACTAACCCCGACTTCAGCATGACCATGGCTCCAGTGGCGAGTTTGGGCAGCTCCAGTGAGAGCGCCATGGCCGCTAATCTTAGCTGCTCTGATAGTAGTCCTGGGACCATGTTTTTAACCAGCTCTTTTTCCCTTTAGTTTCTCCCTGGGTCATCAAGAGGATCCATCACTCTCTGTCTGATCTTCTCCAGGATGTTATTCTGGCATCTGAGTTGTTTCTCTCAGGGAGGCTCTGTATTTTGCTGCTTACTGATTCACCATCTTTAGGTCCACCTAATAGATCTATTTTCTAGAGAAAGCTTGTGGGCAAATATTCTTGACCTCAGGGAAAAAGAATGCTTCAAAAATTAGGGTCCTTATAAAGTGATGCTCTACTGTCATGAAAATACCTAGTTGGAGTCCAGCTTGGGTTCCTGAACTAAATTAACTAGTTCACCAAACTGCCTACTAGAGCTCAGCCTAAAGGGCATTCCAGGTAAATAGATGAAAGCTTTATCCTTGGTGACCTTACTGAACTACATGATGGCAGAAATAGAGAAAAACGGTACATGGTACAGAGTATAAACTTGGAATGTCAGTACTATGTCAGGTAATGGAGTAGACAAAGGGGCTGGTGTTCTTGGAGGGGCCCAGAGTCTGAGCCAGGAACAGAAGAATGAGAAAGGTTTTGACTGTGCAAAGAGGAGTTGACCATGTGGTACAGGGACACTGCCTAGCCAGTGATGACGAACATGTTGTAGCTTGCAGTGATAACAAATAGCCTGCCATAGGTTTACTGAGAATAACTGGTTATGGAGAAAACCAAGAGGTCTGCCTGTCCAAGTTAGGAGCCCTGTGTTTGAGTATGGTGTGGTGCAAACAGTGAGGTGTGAGGAGTCACAGACTTTATAGTTTTGTTTTGATTGTTTGGTACCAGAGATCAAACTCACCACCTCACATTTACCAGTCAGGTGCTGTGCCACCAAGCTATATGCCCGGCCCAGCCACAGACTTTAGATCAGCAATTGTTTTCTTTAAAGGATCAGATAGTAAATAGTTTAGACTTGGGCAGCCACGTGTTATCTCTATTATATATTCTTTTTATTCTTCTTAGAATCCTTTAAAAATATGAAATTTATTCTTAGTTTGTTATCCTTATAAAACAGGACTCAGGCAGTAGTAAACACCTGAGTGGGTGGCAGGTGACAACAACAACAAAAAAAAATCCCTGGAAAATTTTGTTGCTGTGCAGTGGTAGAAATCTGTTTTAGTGAGAAGGGTCTGGTAGTCAAATGGGGAAAGAGTTAAAAGTGTGAAGAGGAGGAAGAGAATTTAGAAATAGATCAATCTATTGATGATTGGGATGAGAACTTGAGTGGAGTAGTAATGACAGGGATGCGATGAGAAAATAAGGTCAGAGTCTCTGGGGCACTCTAGGAAGGAATGGCAAACCCCAGGACCAATGGCAAGTGAGTCTAGGAATTTGATCTACAAATGGGAAGTGTAGCAGGATATAGAAAGAAGGAGTTTGGAAGAAGAGTAGATTCTAGGGGGAAAGGGGTGGATATGATGGTAACTGTCACCACTTAATCTGACCTGAAGGTAAACTTCTGGGCCCTGCAGAGATTTTTGAAGCAGCCTTGTTGAATCTGCCAATAGTAGAGACTGCCAAGCCACATGAGGAGCTAGGTGTCCCCTAGGCTTAGTCAGAAATAGTATAGAGCAATAAGGAGGAAAAGATGTGTAAAATTTGAGATAGGGAAAAGCAAGTTCAGAATATTTGCCAAATGAATCGTCCACCTTCCCCAGTTTTTTTCAAATATTCCAAAAAGGATTTGAAACAGCTTCCAGAACTCATTATGCATTATTGTGATTAATGTAACTCTATTCAATTTTCATTCACATTCATTCCTTTTTCTTCAGCCCAAGAAAATAATTGCTACAATTACTGAGCAGTTTTTATGTGTGAAGCCTTCTTAGGCTTTGTAAATATAGCTTATTTGCTGCTCAGTTTCATTGGATTTTTTTAACCTTTTCCTTTTGTCACAATAGTAGATGACATGCAAAGTTGTTCGATAAATGCTTTTTGAAGTAATTATAATCCATAAACATTGGAGAAGCTTTAGAAAACAGGCAAAAAAAGAAAAACATCTTTAATCCCAACTCTCAAATAAAAGGCTGGCCTTTGAGAGTACCTCTTTCTAGTCTTGTACTATAAAAAAATAGTTTTCATGGACACATGTGCTGATCTAAGTCCACATGCTGGAAGTTGCTTTTCTGAGCATTTTAAAATTACCAAATACTGGATATAAACTTGCTTGACTATATTTGCTTTTCTTCCAAAAATGAGATGCTCTGTGACTTTTTATCAGAACAGGCATCGACCCTGGTGCAAAGATGCTAACCGTTCTTCCTTTTTCTCCTCATGCTTCCAGGCCTGCTATGGCATTCTAAAGGTCCCAGAAGGCAGCTGGCTGTGTCGCTCCTGTGTGTTGAGCATTCAGCCACAGTGTGTTTTATGTCCAAAGAAAGGCGGAGCCATGAAGACCAACAGGACAGGGACTAAATGGGTTCATGTCAGCTGTGCACTGTGGATTCCAGAGGTAAGAAATCGTCTAAGCCTAAAGCGATTTGCTCTAAGGTGACCTTCATTCCTACAACTTTCAGACTGACTGAGGCTTACCATGGAGATGCTTTGTGGTCACTTGTGTTTCTGAGGTAATAATACTTCTACTTGAGCTACCTCAAATCCTTCTTGGATGCAAGTATACATGTAAGCCCGTGCTGATTAATTTATGGGTAGTACTCCCCATAAGTTACAAAATTGTATGAGAGAAGAGACACAAAAGACAGCAAATGTGAATAGCAAATTTTAAGAATGTCCATCAACAGATGAATAGATATGGAGTACACCTGCACACACTGAAATATTATTCAATCATAAAGAACAAAATCATGTCATATGCAAGAAGGTGAATGAAACTGTACACTATCATGTTAAATAAATAAGCCAGACTGAGAAAGTTAAATATCACCTGTTTTATATGAGCAATGAGAGAGACAGGAAACTAGAAGGTAGATTTTTGGAGATAAAGAAAGGGATCAGGGTAAAGGAGGAAGAAAAGGGAAGGGCACAGGAGTAATAGGGATGAAAATAATCAAAACATGTTATATGCACATACCAATATTCCAAAATTAATCTCTTTATTCTATATTACTAATGTGTACTAATGAAAAATATGTATAGCCACAACTCAGACCAAGATACAGACTACCTCAGAAATAGACATATAGCACCCCATAAGGATCCCTCATACCCACTTTCTACTCCCAATCCCTGAGATTAACCACCATTTGTATTTATATTACTATAGATAAGTATTGCAGCCAGGCATGGTGGCTCATGCCTGTAATTCCAGCACTCAGGGGGCTGAGACAGAAAAATTGCCTTGAGTTCAAGATCACCCTGGGCTACATAGTAAGTTCAAGGCTGGGCTGGACTACATAGCAAGACTCTGTCTCAAAAACAGTTTTATCTGTTTTAAACTTCATATAAATTAATTTGTAAGTACTCTTTTCTGTCTGGCTAGCACTCCATGTTATGGTGTGTATTGGTAGTTCATTCCTGTGGATGTATCTGTAGCTCGGTGGTAGTGTGCTTGCTTAACATACATAAGGCCCTTGGTTGTATCTCAAGCACCATAAAAATAGTCCATTCTTTTCTTTGCTTAGTATGCTATGATTTGTCCATATTCCTTTGACAGACGTTTGAGTTTTTAATTTTAGGGTTATTACAAATAAAATGATCAATAGCTCCTTTACCTACTATGACTTTTTACTCTTTCCTTTTTGAAGCTCTTTTCAAAAGAGTTTAGACTCAACATTTGACTAGGACCTTTATTCAAAATTTTTTCTCATTATCTAACCTAGTCCTTCAGTTATTATTTCTCAAGGGGCTATGTATATACTAACTTAATTTAAAAAGAACTTCGAGATATTTCTATTACCTATTACAGCTGTCTGCCTTTTCTTTTCCTTATTCTTTTTCTTTCTCTTTTTCTTTTTCTTTTCTTCTCTGGCTGTTGTGATATCCCTCCTATCTAAGTTAGCAAATTTGTTAGGCAGAGTAACTTGCATGACAATAGAAGCCATAGAATTCAATTAATGGGGAGCTGATAACACTATACCAATAATTTATTGCCCTTTAAAATTTCCCTGTATTTAAACCAAAGGTGGTGGTGCATGCCTGTATTTACAGTACTCTAGGAGGCTGAGGCATGAGGATCACAAGTTTGAGCCCATTCTGGGCAACCTAGGCTCTATCTCAGCATTTAAAAATGTAAAAACTCTAGGGATGTAGCTCAGTGGAAAGCCCTAAATTCAATCCCGAGTTCTACAAAAATTTCCCTGGATTTAATCTTTAGCATTGGTTCCAAGGGAGTTAACTCTCTAAATAGTTAAACTGGAGTCCCAGGTATATAGTTTTGTATTCTTATGACTATATACATCTATATTAGTTTCCTTTTCTAAAAATCCAGCTTATAGACATGTAAAGTGATCTCAGGTTTCTGGTCTGAGTGACTGCAGACAGACCCCTCAGCTAATAGAACAGGTGCTTTTAGCTCACAAAACATGACTCTGGAAGAGTTCTTTAAAATTGCAGTAAACTTTCTCAACTATCAACATTCTCTAGTTTCTAGTTCTTGTTTCCAGTATCTTTTGGATTAATAAAGACCTCTGTTTCCTTATGTGGACAGAACATATACTTGTTTGACCATCTTTACATGACATTTCTTCACTTTTTAAAGTTGTTTTCTCTTAGAAATTCATGAGTAGCTGGATGTGGAGGTACATACCTGTAATCCCAGCACTCTGGAAAGCTGATGCAAGAAAACTGCAAGTTCAAATCCCACCAGGGCAACCTGGTTATACCTTGAGTCAAAATTAAAAATAAAAGAGGGCTGGGGATGTAGCTCAGTGTGAGGACCCTGGGTTCAATGCCCTGTATAAAAAAAAAGCAAACAATATATTCCTTTAAAAAGTAAAGACATGTTTTACCAGCAGTGACATAATTCCTTATTTTCACATGGAAAAGAATTTTTCCATCTTTTTTTTAAAACCTCCCTTTCCTTTTAGCACTCTCCCAAAGAATTTCACTTTGAAGTTACTTAGGCTGAGGCGGCTAGTTAAGCTGAGGGTAATTAAATGGTTTTAAGGACTCTGGTTTAAATGTTGTCAGTCTCATCCTTTCTACTCACATACTGCAGTCTCTTCATTACATAAATTTGCTGCTACTTCCTAACAATATTGTACTTCTTTGTAAACCCATTGTAAAGACTTATCACTGCTTGTTTTTATCCTTAGATAATTAAATGAAATAAATCATGTGGCACCACTTCTAATGTACAACAGATGCTAGACTGTGTGATTTTTTTTTGAGACAAGGTCTCATTTACATCGTGCAGATGGCCACGCTGGCCTTGAACTCACAGTGCTCCTCCTGCCTTAGGCTCCCAAGTGCTGACATTGTAGGCATGTACTACCATACTAGGCTGATTCTATGAATTTTAATTCTTTTCCTTTATAGCTTTCTTTGATATATATATTTGAATCAGTAAAGTAACCATGCCTAGTCTATCCTATGTAGGAATCCTTTGCATTACTAGAAATTGTTGAAGGACTGTTGAAGACAGATTTCACTTATTCTTGATTCTATATTAACCTTGAAAGATATGACTTTCTTCATTGTTTTTGATGTTTGGAGATGTACGTGGCATTATTTCTGGTTTGTGACAGGCACTTTTAAGATCCTTGGTGCCTTTGCCTTACCATGGTCTTTTACTTGTAGGTCAGCATTGCTTGTCCTGAGAGGATGGAGCCAGTTACAAAGCTGTCACACATCCCACCTAGCCGTTGGGCCTTAGTTTGCAGCCTATGCAAGTTGAAGACCGGGGCTTGTATTCAGGTAAGTCCCTATGAGAAATTGTGGAGTGAGCTAAAACCACATTGGCCAGACTGACCCTCTGTAATGTCCTGTTAACCAAAAAGTCATTCAAAAAGCTGTCCACTCATGCCTCGGACCCTCACACTGTACAAGCTATTTCTAGTAATCCCTTTTTGGGTGTTACCGCTGGACCATTCAGCTTATTCTTTTCAATATGCATGATGGTTTATGTAGACTGTGCTGTTCTGTGCCAGCAGTCTCAGCTGCTCAGGAGGCTAAGGCAGAAGGATCGATTGAGCTCAGGAGTTCAAGGCTAGCCTGGACAACTAAGTTAGCTCTGTCTTACAAAATACTCATAGGAGCAATTCACTTGAGTCAAACATCCCACTTCCCCTACACCCCCTTAGCAAATGGGAACCAGAGAGCTGAGCATCTCTTGGGAGGGTGACCATATGCAGTATAGCAAATAAGGGGGATTTCCTTCTACCATCTCTTTGAAGGCAAATATTTTTACTAATGTTTTGCTTTATTCTGATTAGTGGTACTGCTCTATTCAATATTCTGTTTTGACAAGTTCTATAATGTTCTGTATTTCATTTTATTATGCTATATGTGATTGAAAGAACAATTATTGTAAAGATAACGAGATATACCGTGATAACTATTACTGTTATCCCAGTATCCTGCTCTGAAGTTCTGTACCAATTTCACTACACTGTCTAATTGGCTTTGTTCTGTCTTATTCTATTGTATTTTACTACCTTCAAAATAATAATTAAAAAAAAAGAATTCTACTTGCTAGACAAGAGTAATTGTCTGTCATCTCTCTCTTCCTCCTTCCCCATCTTCAAATAAACTGTCTTTTATTTAAAAAAATATTCATAGTGGTAGTTAATCTCCATCCATTGCTGTCAGAGGTGATAAATTAACTGACCTCTGAAGCCAGGTGATATCACCCTGAGTGGAAGTAAGCTGTAATTCTAAATCAAGTAGCTATATTTTTGTGTGGCTCACCCACTAACTATAAATAGATTTGGGATCCAGGACAGTTTGATGGATAGCCGTGTCACTGAGCCCTTGTTGGTTTAACAGTTCTAGTAGGGAAAAATACTTTTTGATGGGTAAGTTCTAGTAGCTAATTTCAAAAGTCATTCATACATGTACATTTCTTGTGGATGATAGTGCAAGTAAAGTTTTCTGGGACACATAGGGCACAGGAATTCAGTTGCTTAAAGTAGAAATAGTAGCTGATGTGGCATCCAGTAATAACAGCTGATAGGGGACATGTAGATAAGACTAGGAAAGGCCAATTACCTCCAGTAAAGGCGCAAAAGGTGACTCTTCATAATACCACTTTCCATAATTTCATATCACTTTCTTTTGTTTGTGGTACTGGGGATCAAACCCAGTGCCTTCACACTGAGCTACATCCCAACCCTTTTAAAAATATTTTTAATTTAAGACAGGGTCTTGATAAGTCACTAAGTTACCCAGCCTAACTTTGAACTTGTCATCTTCCTGCCTCAGCCTCCAAGAATGCTGAGATTACAGACATGTGCCACCACGCTCAGCTTTAACTGACTTTCTATTCCAAACTTTATGTAATGTGGTGGCTTTGCTGGCAAGAAGGAAGAAAGGACTGACCGGCTAGTCCTCAGACTTGCATGTTAGCTACAGGCCGGTTGAAATTCAGTTTGTCTGCTTCCTTCACAGAAAAGAGGCCATATGATGTCATAGCTTAGGCCAATGGCTCTAGGTGCTTTGTGAGGTTCTTTGCACTCTGACATGACAACTTGTTTCATATTCATCATCTTATAAAATCAAATACTTCCCTTGCTTTTTATAAACATTTTCCAGCTGATTTCATATACTTCACTATAACACTATAAGTCTTATAAAAAGAAAACTCTTCCCCTGGGGTCTACTACTGTAATGCATAGTAAACTCTCCTGGCTACTTCCCAAATGTGAACCCCTTGAAGACTAAAATTGTGCATCATCCTTCTATGAACTCCCCCTGGTATGAAGTTTATTGCCTGCCCATCATTAACACTCAGTATTTATTGAATAAATGCTGTATATCCATTTTTATTGTACCATAGATGAGTTTGTCATTTGAATTTTCCCTACTAAAAAATAAAATGTTTTCTGTTTTCATAATTAATCATTTTATAGTAGACATCAATTAACAAACAGTAATTTAATTATTTTCCTCATTGTGGTACTTGCATTTTCATCTGATTTTTGCTGTCTTAAATCATTATTTTTACACAGGTTAGTAATTGGCCACATGACTATGATGAGAGAAAACACTGGCCTTGAGCTTAGCAGACCTGGGTTTGCATTGCAGTGCTGTATCACCACTTTCTATCTTCTGTTATAGTTATTTATCTGTGAGTTTTGTCTTCCCTAGTAGACTAACATCATACTATTTCATCCTTAGACCCCTACTCCAGTATAGACATGGTAGGCAGACAAATACTAGATTAATTGACAGGTAGATAATGAATAAGCAAATGGATAGATTTGCATTCTAAAGGAAGTTTCTCACCTAGTTCTTATTTTCATTGCTTAGAGTTCAGATTCTTCATTTTATAAAGATCTTACTAAATAGAAATTCTTTAAACTTTTTGTTCATGTATGGTGATGGGATACAGCCTAGAGCTCATGTATGCTAGGCAAGTTCACTGAACTACATTTCCAGCCTCTGATGGTAATTGCAATCTATTATAATATTTATGCCTGAGTATACATAAGGCTCAATAAACTAACGGAGAACCTTATGCCATGGAGTTTACATTTTAGTTGGAAAAGTAGATATTAAACCATAGATATTAAATGACATTTTAGAAGGTTAATAAAAGCTATGAAAAGGAAAAATATGTCAAATACAGTAACCATCTGTGAATTATGTTTATTCTGGCCTCCTCTCTCCTGGCAATGGAAATACCCATGGGGGCAAGGATAAAACCTAGTAGAAACTAATATCTACAGCTTCCATATCTGAGAGCTAAAACCAACCTTGCCCTCATCACAAAGGTGTCTGATAATCCTGGAGATCTTAAAGTCTGAATTCAAATCAGATGTACCAGGTAGCCCTAGATTGTTGCTTAGGTCCTGGTCACAGTATCTCTAGCTACTAGATTTTTAGAATTCCTGTAGGGTCCTTCTGTATCTTCTATGTTCAACCCACATTTAAGCTAGATCCAGGTGATTTGATCCTTTCTAAAGGGAAAGAATGGTTAAGAATGGGGCCTTAAAAAAAGGAATATGGCCTTTGGAACCAGGATTCAAACCCTGGTTCCACCCCTAGTTATGCTGGCTTAAAAAAATCACCCAACATCTTTAGGCCTGTTTTTATATCTATACATAGAGATACTCATAGTACCCATTTAAAAATAGTAAAGAGCTTAGCACAGTGCCTAATAGTAAATACTCAGTGTTAGTGATACTAATAGTAGTGGGTTTTTTATTGTTCATATTATTATTCCCTAGAGTCAGTCTGACTTTGCTGATAGAAAACCCTTGCATTCTTACAGCCACATTAAATAAAATGAACATTTAGGGCTTAGATAGCAGAGGAGTAGGGATTAGTCCAAAGTCATATACAACTATACTGAAGTCAGAATTAGGGTTAGACCACCATGATTTTACTGTTAGACTAATATAAGTTTGACTATAAGAAAAAATGAATTTTTAATTTTTTATTTTAATGATAGTAAAATCCAATAAAATAAAACAGAACAAAGCCAATCAAAACAGAGCAACAAAATTAGTACAGAACTTCAAAGCAGGATACCAGAAAAAGAACAATAGCTGACATAGTATATCTTGTTATCTTTACAATAGTGTCCTTCCATCAGGTATAGCAAAATCAACAAAACAGAATAAAACCAATCAAAACAGAATATTGAATAAAGCAAAACATTCAGAACAAAGAAAAACAGAACAGAATTGGATTTCAAAGACAAGATAGAAGGAAATCCCTCGTATTTGCTATATTGCATACTGTCATCCTTCCAAGAGATGCCCAGATCACTGGCCCCAGGCCTGCAAAGTCAACCAAACAGTACAATCATTTAGTTGCTTTATGTACCTTAGTTGCTATCAACTCAGCCAGTCTTCTAAACCAGCCGGTTGTTTGTTGGGGAGGGGTTGGTTCTTAGCCTTCCCTCTGAATAGTCAGTGTGTGCACCATCATAATATTAAATAAATGTGTTATATGAATAGCATAATGGTTTTTTTAGCACCAGGAATTGAACTCATGATGTTGCACTTGCCAGGCAGGAGCTTGTGCCACTGAGCTAAATCCCCAACCCTAGAATGGCAGAATATTATAAACTTAATTTCAGGATGTCTATAATCATACCATCCAATAGAACTTCCACAACGGTGGATGTATCTATATTGTCCAGTATGATTGAGATGTGGCTAGTGTGACTGAGGAGCTAAGTTTTTCAAGGTGTATAATTTTAATTAATTTTTGTGTGGTCCTGGGATTTGAACCCAGGGTTGCGCACATGCTAAGTAATTGCTCTAGCACTGAGCTATACTCCCAGCCCAATTTTAATTAATTTAATTTTAAATAGCCATGGGGCTGGGGATTTAGCTCAGCGGCATAAGCACCTGCCTTGCAAGCCGGCAGTCATGAGTTCAATCCCCGGTACCGATAAAAAAGAAAAAAAAATTTAAATAGCCATTTATGGCTAGTTGGTTGCCCTGATGGAAGCTCAGCTCTGTAAGAATAATTTCAAAAAGTCAGGTTCGTTAGAAATTGGAGTTCTGTGATTGTGATTGTTTTTTAAGAGCCAGCAGATGCTCTGGCAATAATACTGCTTTTTCTTTTATTTGTTCACAAGTATTTTTTAAACAACTGCTTGTTCAATAGTTGATGGCAATGCCAAAGTAAATGACACAGCTTTTGTCTATGGCCAGGGATTTGACAGCTATTATGCTGTAAGTGAAGTATGAAAAGTACCACTATAGAAGCATATATGGAGTGATGTGGTAGACTCAGAGAAAAGATGACATAACTGTGTAAGTTAAGAAAGAATTCTCAGAAAAGGTGAAGGCTTTTCATGATTGAGCTCAAACCTTAAAGGAAGATTTTGACATTTTCTTACTTCTGTTTTTGTGGGAGCAGATTTACTGAGTTGCTTACAAAGCATTAGTCATGGCCAATCCAGGACCAATCTTCTTTGCTTCCTAGAAGCTCTATTTAGGCCCAGAGATATAGAGCTTTCCCTCTCTGCCCAACCCTGATGTCTTGACACATCCTTTCTTCTTGCAGTGCTCCGTGAAAAGCTGCATCATTGCCTTTCATGTCACTTGTGCCTTTGAGCACAACCTGGAGATGAAGACCATCCTAGATGAGGAGGATGAAGTAAAGTTCAAGTCTTACTGCCTCAAGCATAGCCAAAACAGGCAGAAACCAGGAGATACTGAGCACCCCCACCACAGAGCTGCTGAGCAGAACCAGGCCAAAAGTGAGAAAACCAGCCTGCGGGTACAGAAGCTCAGGGAGCTGGAGGAAGAGTTCTATACCTTGGTCCGAGTGGAAGATGTGGCAGCAGAGCTGGGAATGTCCACACTAGTTGTGGACTTTATCTATAACTACTGGAAACTGAAACGCAAAAGCAACTTCAACAAGCCATTATTTCCTCCAAAGAAGGATGAAGAAAATGCCCTTGTACAACCAAAAGAGGAAAGCATTCACACTCGCATGCAAATGTTTATGCACCTGCGACAGGACCTGGAAAGGGTAAGATGATGGGCTCTAATTAGTTAGTATGTCTCATCTGCCTAGAAATGGGGGTCCTATTTCCAGTTTAAAAGTAGCCAGCTCAATTTAGTGTGAGTGTCTGTGTATCTGATTATCTTATGATTTCACAGTTGCCCCAGACATTGGCCTCTGTTTAAATTTTCACAGACACAGAGATTGAAGAGGGCTCACATATATGCTCTATGAACTATAAATTTAAAATAAATCCTTATTTGATTTATGTTTTATTTACTGTTGAGCCTAGATTGGCTCAGCTATATTTTAGTGATGTAAACTACCAGCAACAGAAAGTAAATTCTGTTTTTTATGTTTGGCACTATTGACACTTTGGGCTGGATAATTATTTCTTGTGTGGTGCTGGCCTTTGTTATAGGGGGTATTGAAAGATGTTTGACAGTATTGCTGGCCTCTACCCACCAGGTACCAATAACACTGCCCATACCTACCCAATTGTGACAACCAAAATAGTCCCTGGTTGAGAGCCACTCTACCAGATAATTAAACTAAAGATATATTTATCAGGTATGTACTAATTTAGGTACTGCCAGGATTCAAAGATAAGTCGGGTGCTATGTTTACCTTAGAGAAATTTACAATTAAGTATAATTATATAAATGTCTTGAAGTTTTGTGTCTGCTACCAAAATTTGAAAAAGAATTAATGGATTTGGCTCACTTTTAAAATTTAAAATATACATATATAGCACCTCCTATTGTTACTGTTACTACCAACACTGTTGTAAGCATTTTATAAATTCATTTCATCCTAATATGCTATGCCAAACTATTTTTCTCATCCCTATTTAATAGGTGAGGCACAGAAAGGTTGATTAATTTGTCCAGGTGAAGAATTTGAGAGAGTAAAATCGTTATACTTGTAGCTGTGGAAATGTGGTTAAATTGAAACCGTGAGCAAAAATCCACTTCCAGTTTCCCCAGCTAACTTTTCTTCTGCTGGTCCATCTGCTGCTGCTATCTTTGGAGCAAGCATTGCTATGATTTGTACTGAGGGGCTTAAAGGGAAGGTTGAATTGTTAAACCATCATTCTGTCTTTCCAGCTTGGCTGTGTTCATAAATACCAATTCCATGACACTGCAGGGAGAGTAGATTTCAGAAGACTACTTTGGAGCACTTTGTGCTGCTGATTGATACAGGAACCATGCCCCCATGATCCACTGTGCTGTGTGAATTCCTGTGGAGTGGCTCTCAGTCTGTGACTCTTGAAGGGTCCTATCTTATCTGCTCACATCCACCCATACCTGATCTTAGTCATCTTCATTTTAGCTAAACAATTTTACTTGTCAGGTTTGCTTAACGTGACAAACATCTCTATTTGCTGGGGATTGGGCTTTCAGGTCCGAAATCTGTGCTACATGATAAGCAGGCGAGAGAAGCTGAAACTATCACACAGCAAAATACAGGAACAGATCTTCAATTTGCAGGTCCAGCTTCTTAACCAAGAAATTGCCGCAGGTAATCTTGTGTTAATATCTTTCTAGCAGATACATAAACTGGTTACATCCTATCTTAACAATCTAAACTTTGACTGAAACAGCTTTACAATGTCTTCTGTTAGTTACTTTCTCATCACTGGAACATAATACCCGACACTAACCACTTAAAAGTAGAGGTTTATTTTCGCTCACCATTTGTGGAGGTTTCAGGCCATAGTTGGTTGGTTAGAAGACAGGATAACATGGTAGAAGAGGCTTGCTTGTGGTATGGCAGTCAAGCAGAAAGTGATGAAGGAAGGTGGAAGGGAGATACACCCTTGCAGGCCAGTGATCTCAGTGATCCACCTCCTCTACCAGGCTTTATCTCCCAATATCACGTTTAGCTACAAACTCATCAGTGAACTAATCCACTGATAAGTATCACACACCCATGATCTAGTCACTTCCCAAAAGCCCCACCTATGAGTAGATGAGGCTTTGCAGGAACATCTAACTATAAACCATAACATTCTTTCCTGGCTGCCAAAGACTCATGTACATCATATGCAAAATGCTTTTGGTCCATCTCTAAGAGTTTCCAAAGTCATAACCATTTTAGCATTGCTGAGAAGTTCAAGGCCAAAATATTCTCTTAAGATTTAAAGCAAACTCTTAGCTGTGAGCCCCTGTAAAAATAGTTAAACACTTTCAACACACAAAGGCATTCCCACTCCAAAAGACAGAAATAGAAGTGTAGAAAGGAGTGAGACCAAACCAAAACCCAAATCCAACAGGACAAACATTAAATCCTGTAGTTCTGCCAGGCATGGTGGTACATGCCTATAATCCCATCACCTGGAGGACTGAGGCAAGAGAATCAATGCAGGTTTGAGGCTAGTCTGGACTACATAGTGAGTTCAAGGCCAGCCTAAACTACATAGTGAGATTCTGTCTCAAAAAACACATACATACATACATACATACATACTATAGTCCAGCACCCGGAGCAGTCTGTTAAAGCAAGAGGGCTTGCATGGCCCCACCCCTACAGCACTCTCAGTGGTTATAGCCCTCATAGCCTCTCTTTTGGGCTGGCTTTGCTTACTCCTTATGGCTTTCCTCAGATGTTCCACATTCGTGGCTTTTCTAACATTCTGGGTTCTCCACTGCACTTTTGACTTCACACTTACAGCTTTGCACACTGCCTAGCTTCCCAAGTCTTCTTAAATCTGGGTGGAAACCTTCCTGACCCTAAAACTCTTTCGTTCTTCATCTTCCTAAAATCAGCACCATGTGGATGACGCCAAGGTCTGCCGCCAGCTGGACCAGTAACTGAGTCCTTTTGCGTCTCACTCGTGGTTGCAGAGGCCTCTAAGTACCTGGACTGCTAAGCCCAGTGAACTGAATCCTGGGGAATTAATCCCCATTCCCTAGGCTGCTGCCAGTCTGCAGCATTGGTACCCTGGGAATCTCTTCTCAAAGCACTGTTTCATCTTTGCAATTTTGAGCCCTCAAAAGGTAGAGTATTGCTAGTTCCCCACATTCCCTCAAGATACTATTCTGGGCAGGGGATTTAGCTCAGCGGCATACGTGCCTGCTTTGCAAGCCCACAGTTATGAGTTTGATCCTCGGTACCCAAAAAAAAAAAAAAAAAAAAAGATATTTTTCCTATTGTCCTGTTCCAAAGTACTTGGCTTCTTTTTAATACTAATCTTTTCAGCAACCCAGTTCTCCTTTGTTCCATCTTTGCAGGGTCCACCTTCACCAGAGCTTCCTTTTTGCCAGACTCAAAACTTATTAAACCATTCTACTGGACAGTTTGCTCTTGATTCTTAATGTAGAGCTGGCTAAAAGCTCCCAACAGTCCCCAAGCCACAGCCTGAATGTTTGGCTGACTTGAAATTCCCTTTCCAGGTTAATTAGTCTACTGCCCTTTATCTCAGTTTCCTGAAAAATCTCTGGACATGAGCAAAATGCTGCCAGAAGATAACATACATGGCTTGGAATGCAACTGCCAGTGGACTCCGACTTCCCAAGTGAAGATTCTTGAGCCTGCTCTTTTCCAGCTGTAGTACAGCCAACATTCTGGTCCTCTGAGCTCCAACCAGAATCTCCATCAAACTCCCATAGCTTTCTAGGGCTGCTTCTACAGCTGGCAGCTCCAAACCTTTCCAAACTCCTTCTGTAAGCCAATTCCAAAGACCAAGTGGTCAGATAGCATCATTACAACAATGCCACTTCTCTGATACCAATGTCTGTTCTTACTTTATCATCACTGAGGCATAATACCTGACACTCACAATTTAAATGAGGAGAAGTTTATTTTGGCTCAAAGTTTGTAGATTTCAATCCTGTACTGGCTCCAAGACAGAACAACGTGACAAAAGGACATGGCAAAGGAGAATTGTTTATTGATTAGCAGTTAGAAAGCAAAATGTGATTGAAGTAGGAGGAAGGGTAATTTGCCCTTTCAGCCCTTGACCCCAGGGACCCATCTCTTCCACCAGGTTTTATTCTCCAAAATCATACTTAGCTTTAAACTCATCAGTGAACTAATCCACTGATAATTATCATGCCACCATTATCCAGTCACCTCCCAAAAGCCCCACCTATGAGCAGATGAGGCTTTGGGGAGGACATCTAAATAGAAGCCATAAAAGCTTATTTGCTTCAATACAATTCTGTTACTAAGATGGCCCAGTTTATGGGCCAAGGGACATCTCCCAGTGGCACAAGTGCCTGCCTGGCAAGTACAAGGTCCTGAGGGGTTTTTTTTGGGTTTTTTTTTTTAATCTTTTTTGAGACAGGGTTTCGCTATGCAGTTCAGGCTGGCCTTGAGCTCACTTTGTAGCCCAGACTGGTCTCAAACTCACTGTGATCCTCCCGTCTTAACCTCCTGAGTACTGGGATTACAGGCATGAGCCACCACACCCGGCTCAAGGTCCTGGGTTTAATTCCCACTACAAAAAAATTCCAAGATGGCCCATTTTATTATGAACTCATGACCCAAGCAATCCCAGAGTAGGCTTAGGGTAACTGCAGGTCTAGGGCAGATAGTCTATATCCTAGACAGACATTGGAAGCCATTAATTAGACCCAGAAAGTTATTCTGTAGTTACCACATTCATTTAGAAATTGATAGGATAGAATTGAATTCGTTTCCAGAAAATATTTAATTCCAGGACTACTCATCTTAATAATAATCTATTAAATATTTAGCCAGAATCTAGTTCTTGCATTTTCGTTTAATTGCCAGTATTTGTTGAGCCCCTGCTAAGTGCTAAGAACTGAATTAAAAGATAGAACAGTTAGAAAGATAGACTCACTGCCCACTTGGTGAGAGAGAGGGGTGAGAATAATTATAATTTCCAAAATATGGATGCTTGGCTGGAAATAAGATAATCATGTCCAATGACATGTGTAACTTTACTGTGTCTTATTTAACAAACAAAGGTAGGAAGCAAATCCTGAGCAACTGTCGGCTGTTGACAAGGATGTATGGAATCAGCTCTTATCAAGGGCCAGCCATAGAGCGAGAGAGACATGCAGTAATGAGATTGCAGGTAGACATCAGAGGCTCTGGGATATTTGTGAGTGTCAAGGGCAGTGTGACTGGCAAAACAAGAACCAAAGGAAAGCAGGAAAGAACCCTTGCATGCCAAAGAGATTAGCACAGCCATGTGACTTTTGATTGCGGGAGCTAGGCTCATGGCTTACAAAGTCACATGGCTTACAGCATCAGCAGGAGCAGGCCTGGGAGAGATGAGGGCTGTGGATATTTAACTTGGACCCTTTGGTAATACATGCAGCCCTTTGAGACATCTAAGAGCTGACCTCTCTAATTCTCACTTCTGTAAGTTCATGGTAAAAGGATAATGGGCAAAGGTCAAGTCCATTAGCAAGGAGGAACTGTTTGGTATAGGCAGACCTATTCTAATTAATTATAGGGTGACATAACCAGGCAAATGACTGCTAGTACTCTGCAGGCCAAACCCACAATCAGCCAAGTGTAAGGGTATGTTGTAACTCTCTTCTCCTGGCTTTACCACTATCAAACCTCCTCATACCATTATGGAATGATCATTTGTAGCAAGGAAATTATTGTGTAGTAAGGACAAAACATTGGCAGAAACTACCTACCACTTCTAATGCCAGGTACATATTTTCCCCCACCAATACCTGTAATGTTTCTGTGGGGTTATATTTGACTTGTTTTAGGAAGGCCAGGCAAGAAGGGAGAAAAAGGTCTGAAATGTCTGCTTGAGACAGTATCAGCACTGTACAATACCCATGCATGCACACATACAAACAAGTAGAAAGCACCTCTTCTAAATCACTACTGGTGATATTCTTTTCAGAAATTCAAGAGGCAGAGATGAGGATACAGGAGGCAGCACACTAGTCTTCATGATCTTTTTATAGATCAGGAAAGTGCAGGTGAAGAGGTGTTGCATACTGAGTTTTGCATCTGTAGCAATGTAAGCCCCATACCCTAGTTCACCTGTTCACTTGCTACCTCCATGAGGTATGTGCATATCAAAGACCAGTGCTCCTTGTATGTTTTCTAGGAAGTGTAGGTACATGACTCACTCTGCCGTAATAAGTATGTATGCTATTATTAAAATCAGTTGTTAAAATAAATCTTTCTTTTTGATCTCAGGACAACCTTTGACAAATGCACTAGAAAGCTCATTGTTTTACCCACCACCAAGAATTACCTTAAAGTTAAAAATGCCCAGATCAACCCTGGAAGACTACAGAAACAGCTCCACAGAGGCTGACCACCGACCCTACTCTCCTGACAGCAGCTCCCCTGGTCCTAATAAAAGGAACATGCAGGTGCCTCCGGAGCCTCTAGAAATGAAAGTGAAATCATATCCAAGACATCCACTAGAAAGCAAGAGTAACTGTTTGCCGGCCAGTCTCAGCCATTCTCGGAGTGAAGCAAAGGATTCCAGTCCTACTTGGAGAGCTCCATCTTCGGAGTTCTATCATGGACAGTCACTAGGGAAGCCTCTAGCATTTCAAGCTGCCCTCCATGGACAGTCTTCCATTGGGAATGGGAAAAATCCGCCTAATCCCAAGTTTCCCAAATCCAATGGCCTAGAGAGCAACTGGTCTGGGAATGTCACCCAAAAAGAAAGCTCAAGTGAGATGTTCTGTGACCAGGAGTCCATGCTCAGTTCTCACTTGGCCAGTCAGGGTACTTTTAGAAAATCCCCCATGGAACACTTCAGCAGGTCCTTTAAAGAGGCCACCAACAGATGGGTGAGGACCTCTGAGGACCTTCAATGCTCGAAACCAACTAAGAATATGAGCCCTAAAGAACAGTTCTGGGGTAGGCAGATGCTTAGGCGGTCTGCAGGTAAAGCTTCATATCAGGAAAACGATGGTTATTGCCCAGATTTGGAGTTAAGTGATTCAGAAGCTGAAAGTGATGGGAATAAAGAAAAGTCCAGAGTAAGGAAAGACAGTTCAGATAGGGAAAATCCTTCCCATGATTCTAGAAGGGATTGTCGTGGTAAAAGCAAGACACATCCTCTCTCCCATAGTTCAATGCAAAGGTGATTAGCAACTCCCAAGGACAACCCAACCTTTGCCTTTGTCCCATCTATTGGGGAAAATCCATATATCAAAAGCATTCTAGTATATATGGGGAGAAATTTCAAGGAAAAGAATGAAATTTTCCCTAATAAATTGGCTTACAGTTTTTGAAAAGATTTCAAGTCTAGTTTTTACAAGCACATTAGAATTACAAATTGTCCAGAGGCTGGTTTGTCAAGAGACTATTGGGAACCACTGGACCCAGAGTATTTACTCAGCTTTCTAGTCACAGTAACACATTAATGAGTCTGTGTATTGAGAATCTCTGCATTCATTGTTAATGGATTTGCAAGAGACTATGATTGCCATACACTAAAACTACTTATCTTTTACAGCTACAGCATGTGGCTCCCAGAGGTCCTGTCTGTAGAAAGTTTCTTACACCATGATGTCTTTAAGGGACAGACCAGGAGACAAGCATTCTCAGATACTGTAAAACTCACTACCCTCTTCCTTTGCTCTGCAGAAGGTTGAGTTCTTTTCACAGTATCGTAACTTAATGAGTCAATTCTCCTATTGCTTACAAGTGTCGAGTGCCTGTTCCTAGACCTGTTTGTTGGGGACACAGTCATAACTCACCCAACTAACAAGCATAAAAAGCTAACTTGCGGATAGTGTTTACAAAAGTACTACTTCCAAGGAAAATGCTTTGATTCTCTCTGTTTAGACATTTGTAAGAATCCCAGAGCCTTTTCCAAAGTGAGACCATTGCTGGGATATTTGTACTAGGTCAGGGTTTTGTGTTGTTTTCAAATAAGTTTGACTAAAATAAGTTTGGCTGACAATTTTTGTATACCTGCTTTAATGTTTATAAAATTTTTATTGAGGTATAATTAAAATATAATGAAATGCACAGAGGTTAAGTATTCTTACCTGCTTTAATTTTGAAACAGATTTTTATTGTCAAGCAAAATTTGAAAGCATGTGTTTAGCACATGGATATAATTTAGCTTTGTATCAATATTGAATCTGAGGCTGTTTCCCAAACAAAACAACTGGAGCCATTTTTCAGAAGTTGTTTATATGCTGTTCCCAAACGATCAGCCTTGATTCATTTCTGGAGGAAGAGAATAATTACATTTCAGGGGGAGGGAATAAAACATGTCTGCTTCCCATTTAGGAAAGGGGGAAAAGCTGCAGTTTTTAAAATGTGAAGCAGACTATATAATTCTCAGCTCTCTTCTTCCTAGCCTTAAATTAATATTCTCTTTCTTCTAGTTTGGGAAAGTGTAGTGGAAATTTTGATACAAAAAAATACCATTTCCAATTTGTGAAGTTTCTTACTGGAGAAACAGTCCAGTTGTAGAGTGCTGGTCAGTGGAGGCTGAGGCCCTCTGTACGTTCATAGAGAAGAAAGACTCAGCAGTTTTCTTCTCCCATGCTTTTGTTCTTATAGCCTTGTTAACGAGTTCTTTGGGTTTTGTTTCTCATTTTCTGAAAACTTATGTATTTTGCCTCTCCATTGGCTCTATCTTCAAAACGTTTCTTTCTTTTGTGCCTATATACATGTGAACCTGACATAACATTATGTGCTAGGTATCCTGTGTTTTATTTGAATGAAAAAATGAAGAAGAGAATGTCCTGAATTCATGTACTAGACTTCTTTAATTTCTCTTTGTGTTTAATTTGACACTCATGGTAATGAGTGATAATAGAGCTGTGTTGTAAACTCATGTTATAGGCCAATGCAGTAGCCTGTGTCCTTTCATGCCTTTCAAATCTGAATGAGTGAGAGCAAAGGAAAATATCAAAACAGTACTTCAGCCAAATTCCATATGTAATGCCATTGGGGAAAGAATGGACTAAAATATCATCCCAGTCAGGGAACTATAATGGTAATGTTTTACAGGATTTTCCTAGTTAAATGAGAGAGTTATACTTTCCATTGCCCCAAAAATGCATTTGTTACATTTTGTTGTATTACCTCTTAACTTTGTTTCTTAATATTTTTCATTTTGTCTTATATAGTCCAATTTTCCAAGATAAACACAATCTTTTTCAAATGTCATCTTTTTACCAATACTTTTTCATTAAATTATGAAAACTGCTAACTACTATCAGTGTGGTAATTTTTTATTTTGATCTTTAAAAATCTTACATTTGTTCATTTTATATTTAAAAAAATCACATTCACTAAACAAAACAAATGGATTGTGGAGGAAGAAGAAAGAAGAGAAACTGAATGTTTAGAAGTACAGATTCATGATTCATACCAATATTAGGGGCCAAAGAGAACTCAGGACATTTGGGCTTTACCCAGAAACCATGATTTCATCAGCCTGGAAAGATAAAGACCTCATAATCATCATTAAAAATCACCAAGGGAAAAAATCCTGACTAAAGGTACAAAGTTCAGATGGCTTAGTACATTGGGCATCACTTAAGTGCATAATTTTTACAGTATTCATTATAGGGGACCTGTGAGTATAATAATGTCATAGGAGTTATGTGGTATAGTGGAAGGGCTTTGAGGGCATCATAAGCATTCTAATATTTGAGAAATGTATGTGCCAAAGGTCATTGGGTAAATCAGTAATGAAGATAGGCAAAAAAAAGGTGAGGCATGTGTTCTTTCTCATGCTCACTGGCTTGCTCTCTCTCCGCCACTCCCTCTCCCTCCCTGTCCCCTTTCTCCTCCCCTTCACCCCTCTTTCCTTTCCCTTATTTGTTAAAAAAATGACTGAATTTTTTCCTAGTAAAATGCCCTGGAGAACTGAAACTACAGATATATCCTGTTATAGCTATTGTTTATACTAATGTGTACATTTCCAGTACGATATTACCTTTTGTCCTTGTGTTAAAGAAACATTTAAATTTAGATAATAAACCAGAGGATGCGCAGTCCAGGATTTTTGCCCCTCCAGGACTTTAAAATCCCCAAGATGCTTCCTAGCATTATTATTTCATGCCAGTGGCGGAACTCAGCTTCATGCATGCTAGGCATGTGATCTACTACTAAGCTCCACCCACAGTCCCTTATTTGTAAGAACTGAGGGAAAATACATGATAGAACGAGAAGCTTACTTACCATTGTGTAACTTTCATGTGCTATTTTCAAGAAATTATTTTACAATAACTTTTATTAAATTTTTAGAATCTTAACAATTTTCAAGTTTTGTGGAAAGTAGCAACTGTATATTAATTTTTAAAATAACATTTAATAAAAGACCTACCCTGAGGCTATTTCTGTGCAAGGAACTTTGTTAACACTCTGGCACTGTAAAAGGAGACTTCAGTGAGTTCAGTTGATTTTACCTCATGGATTGGAACAGATTTCCTGGCCTGAAGATGTGAGGATAGTTGTCCTTGAAATAAATCAGAGATAGAGAGGCTTTAGTCTCAGGTTCATGTCCCTATTTCTGTCCCGTCACTGATTAGTTATTTTACCTCACATTCTCTTAAGTATATCAATCATCTTGATAAACTCTCAGAGCATTCATCATTTTTTCATCTTTTAGGGCTGGTTGGTCTATTAAGCATTCCATCCTGAAGGCCTGACCACCCCAAACTCTTAAGTCCCCTCCCTTCTCCTCCCTTCCATGCCTTTCTCCGTTTTATCTCCCAAGTAATTGGGATTATAGGTGTGCACCACCATTGGTAAATGGGTAGCAGGTTGTAAACCAACTGGAAAGGTGAAACTGAACTCTTTTGGAGTTTGAAGAGCATTTGTGGGACTACCTTTTCCTCAACCTTGCTCTTTGAAGTACTGCCATGGTGTAATGAAACTGCTTCATAAAGCACTTGTGGAAATGATGGCCTCCTTATTTTAGTTATTTATTACATAATAAATTTCATTCAAAAATTGCTGAAATTTGGAAAGTTAGAAGTGCATTGAATTGATCACTTCAGACTCAACACTTTCAACTGGACAGTACTACTTTAGTTCTTTCAACTGCTTAGCAGAAAAAAAATACTAAATATTTAATTTCTACTTCAGATAAGCCTGGCATATGTACCAGGATCCTGGTATCAGATTTCTCTTTTCTGTGTGTTTGTGATACTGAGGTTGAACCCAGGGAGTGCTGAGCTACAAATCTAGCCCATTTTTTATTTATTTTGAGACAGATTCTCACTAAAATTGCCCAGCCTCCCAAGTAATTGGGATTATGGGTGTGCATCACCATGCCTGACAAGACTTTTCACCCTAACTTTTCCTTTTGCTGAAACAGGAACTCAGGGCCAGGAATATAGCTCAGGCATAAGCACCTGACTGACAAACTACAAGGTCCTGAATTTGATTCCTGGTACCAGAAAAAGGATTTCCTATAAGACAGGAATTAAGGTTATATTCTTCCCCTTTCCCCAAGCTCTGCAAACAGAAATGGCAATGGAGGTAAAAATCAATTAGTTATTTTACCTCACGTTCTCTAAATATATCAATCATCTTGATAAACTCTGCGATCACAAGACTGTGGCTGTGTCAGTACTTTAGCCATTCTGTCTTCTCAGTCGTACTTGCTGACAGAATAACAATGGAATATCAGTGAACATAGTCAAACAGAGCTACCTACATCTCTGGGCCAGAATTTGTACCAATGTCTTGTCCTCCCTCTTTCAAAGATGGACTAAGAATTATATGAGCAAAAACCAGGCTAAAGGCGGGTTTATGACAGCTATTTAAGTCCCTGATGGTACACAAACAAGACCAAAATCCTAAGACAAACCAGGAAACACTTGGGACCAGCCAAACCTTCAAATAAAAAAGCAGGATTCATGGAGCCCTTGCTCTGTGTCTAGCCCTTTGCTAAGATTTGGTTCTATTAAAAACTATGAAGATGACATTATTAGCTTCATTTGACACATGTGAAAACAGATTTGACCTCAGGAGACTAAGGCAGGAGGATTGCGGACATGATTGAGGCCAGCCTGAACTATATAAACAGACCTTGTCTCAAATGTAAAGAAGGATAAACTTGAGACATTTATAGGTGAATGGTTGCAACTAAAGACCATACTCATAAGTGAAATACATTGGACTCACATGTGTAAACATATTGTCTCCCTGGTGTGAGAAACTGAAAGAACTAATAAGGTCTAAAATGCACAATAGATACTGTGAATGGGAATAAATGTTCAAAAGAAAAAGGAAATAGGATAGGGAAAGAGGAAAGGAAGGAAGGGAAAAGGAAAAAAAAACACAAGATCGTTGTACTGCTATTTTCTCTTAGCTCATTAAAAAGAAAGGTTTGTGCTAACTTGGAGAAATTTTCATGCCCATATCTTGTATTCTGATTAACTACTTTAAAGATAGCAATACTCAATGTATTAACTATTGTTATTATCCTATTTGTTATGAAATCTTGTTTTACTTTTTTCCATTAAAATAAAATAGGCTAAGAATGTATCTCAGTGACAGAGTGCTTGCTTAACATTGATGAATGAGAACTTGAGTACAATTCTCAACATTGGAAGTAGGCACAGAAGATATGCACCATTTTCTAAACCTTAAACAGATTTTAACAAATTTTCAAAACCAAGCCAAATGAACAACTGCATCCATCAGAAGTAATAAAAGGCAGGGAATGCCATGTTCCTAGGTCTTTTGAAGAGAAAGTATCCCTGCTAAACACGTTGATGTTAACCCACTGTCAATGATCTTGGACTTTTGTTCTACTTAACTATGTGAGAATAATTTTCTATTGTTTTAAGTAAATTTTACTTATTTTTCAAATCCATTTTATTTCAAGGATAAAAATTAAAAAAATCTACAACAAAATTTCAAAACGTGTCAATCAGGAGTGCATGCATTGTACGTTGTCATCTCCAAATCATTTACCCAGAGCACTACACATCTGCACTCAATTGTCCAAACAATACCAGCACAAATCTTTCTGTTCAGTGAACTCTGACAAATCAGTAGTATAACTGTCTTAAATATCTTTTAATATACATGCATATATGCATGTTTTTTCTTTCACCTCACATTAATGAAAGAATATAATATTTACACATGTGTCTTATTTATTTCACTAATGAGTATGTGCTCAAGGTGCATCCAATTACCTATAAAAGTATCGAGTTTATCCCTCTTCATGGCTGAGTTTATCCCTCTTTTTCAACAACTCCATTGTTGAAAAACGACATCTTTCTTATCCATTCCTCAGTCAATAGGCATTTAGGTTGTTTCTAAGATCTAGCTATTACAAACTGTGCTGCTATAAACATGGGTGCACATATATTGCTGTAGTATTATGTTTTTCTTTTGTAAGACACGAGAAAGTGAATAGCTGGGTTAAATGGGACCTCTAGTCCTAGTTTTTATTTTTATTTTTTTTGTATTTTTACTGGTACCAGGGATCAAACACACGACCACACGCTTGCAAGGCAGGCACTTATGCCACTGAGTTAAATCCCTGGTTTTTAAAGGAATCTCCACACTGATTTCCACAGTGGTTGCACCAGCCTACAGTCCCACCACCAGTGTAAAAGAGTTCCTTTTTCCCCACAGCCCCTACATAATTTGTTACTACTGAATTTCTAGGTGGTAGCCATTCTTTCAGGGGTGAGGTGGAATCTTAGTATTGATTTAATTTGCATCTCTCAAATTACCAGTGATGTTGACCATTTTTTCACATATTCATTTGCTGTTTGTATTTCTTCCTCTGAGAACTGTGTATTCACCTCAGATGCCCATTTTTGGATTGGGTCTTTAAATCTGAGAGGACTGATTTTTTTTTTTAGTTCTTGATATGTTCTCCATAGTAATCCTTCATTTGAGGAACAGCTGGCAAAAATTTTCTCCCACGTTGTGGGTTGTCTGTTCACTCTGTTGGTGGTTTATCTTGCTGTGAAAAAGATTTTCAGTAGGATGAGATTCCAGTTGTTGATTATTTGTGACACTTCCTGTGCAATCTGAGTTTTGTTCAAAGTCTTTCCTACACCAATGTCTTCAACAGTTTTACCTACTCAATTGTCCAGCAGATTTAATATTTTTGTTTTAATATTAACAACTTTGATCCATTCTGATTTTATCTTTGTGCATGGTGAAAGATACAGGTCCAGTTTTAATCATCATCGGCATGTGTAGAGTCAGTCTTTCCAGCACCGTTTATGAAAGAGCTTATATTTCTTCCACTGAATGTGTTGAACATCTTTGTCAAAGAGAAGAAGGCTTAGCGTGTCTGGAGTTGTTTCTGCATCTTCTAATCTGTTCCATTTATCCTCGGGTCTTGTTTGTTTGTTTTGCTTTGGGCCAGTACCACACTGTTTTTATCACAGTAGATTTATAGTATAATTTCAAATCTGAGATTGTGATGTCCCCTGTCTTCTCTTTGTTGCACAGGATTGCGTTTGCTATTCTAGGTCTCTTCTGGTTCCAAATGAATTTTCAGATTGTTTTCTATAACCCTGTGAGGTATACTATTGGAATTTTGATTGGGATTGCATTGAATCTGTATGACAGTGTTGAAAGGATGGCTTTTTTCATTATATGCTTCTTCCTACACAAGAGCAAGAGATATCCCTCCATTTTCTAATATCCTCTTCAATTTCCTTTTTCAGATCACTGCAGTTTTTAAGATAGAGATCATTTACCTCCTTTGTTAGATTGACTCCTAGGTAGTTCATTTTTTTGGATGCTATTGTAAAAGGTATTATTTCCCTGATTCCTCTCTCAGTGAATTTGTTGCTCATATACAAGAAGGCTATTGAGTTTTGAGCATTGACTTTGTAGCCAGCTACATTACTGAATTTGCTTATTAAATCTAAAAGTCTTTTGGTGGAGTTTTGGGGTCTTCTAAGTGGAAGACTGCAATCATGTCATCTGCAAATAATGATTTAATGTCTTCCTTTCCTATCTTTATTCCTTTTACTTCTTTTTCTTGTCTAACTGTTCTAGCTAAAGTTTCCAGGACTATTATTGAATAAGGGTGGAGACAGTGGACATCTTTGTCTTCTTCCTGATTTTAGGGTGAAAGCTTTTAATTGTTGTCCATTTAGTATGATGTTGGCTGTTGGTTTGTCGTAGACGGCTTTTATCAGGTTAAGATAAAGGCCATCTATTCCAATTTTTTTCATGAATGGGTGCTGGCCTTTGTCAGAAGGTTTTTCTGCATCTATTGAGATGCACATATGAGTTTTGACCTTGACTCTGTTAATATGGTGTATTACACTTACGGATTTATGTATGTTGAACCATCCCTACATCCCTGGGATGAATTCCACTTGATCATAGTAATCATAGTGATCTTTGTGACAATTGGCTGCAGTCTGTTTGCCAGTATCTTACTGAGGACTTTTTGCATCAGTGTTCATTAGGGAGATTGGCCTGTAATTCTCTTTCTTAGTTGGTTCCTTCTCTGTTTTTGGTATCAGGGTAATGCTTGCTTTCAGGAATGATTTTGGAAGTATTACTTCCCGCTCAATTTCATTAAAGAGTTTGAGAAGAAGTAATGGTGTTAGGTCTTCTCTAAATTTCTTGTAGAATTCAGCAGTGAATCTGTCAGGTTCTGGGCTTTTCTCTGTTGCTAAGTTTTTAATTACATCTTTGATTTCATGTGTTGATACTGGGTTATTTAGAAATTTTATATCTTCTTTTTTTTTAATTTTTTTTAAATTTTATTTAAGGAGAAAAGAAAAAAAAGCAGAGAAAATGTACAAGTTATACAGATTTGCAGAAAAAAAATGAACAGTAGGAAATCACTAGTTAATGGATTATATATTGTCATCTTAGAAATAATTGTTCAAGTCACAAAATTAAAGCTTGTAAAGTGGACATTCCATCAATGATACTGCAAACAGAAATTTTATATCTTCTTGATTCAGCTTAGGTAATTCATATGTGTCCAGGAATCTGTCCATTTCTTCTGTATTTTCTATCTTAATAGAATACAAGTTTTCAAACTGGGTATAGATGCTTTTCAGGATTTCTGCAGTCTGCTGTGATTTCACCCTTTACACTCCTAATTGCATGGATTTGAGTCTTTTCTTTCCTTTTTTGATATAGTTGGCTAAGGTTTTGCCAATTTTATTTCATTTTCAAAATTTGATACACTGATTTTTTTGTGTTGCTTTTTAGTCTCCTGTGTGTTAGTTTCTGCTCTGATGTTTGTAATTTCCTCTCTTGTATGAGCTTTTAGTTTAGCTGCTTGTCTTTCGCTAGAAGTTTGAGGTTGAACATTAAGTTGTTTATATGTGCTTGCTCTGTTTTCCTGATATGGGTATTTACTGCTATAAATTTCCCTCTTGTGACTACTTTCATTGTGTCCCACAAGTTCTGGTATGTTGTAATTATTATTCAACTGTGAGAACTGTCTAATTTCCTCTTCCATCTGTGGCCACTGGTTGTTCAGTAGGGTGTTACTTAATTTCCATATGTTCATGAAATTCTCATAGTTTCATTTGGTATGAATTTCCAGTTCCATTGCACTGTGGTCTGATAGTATGCATGGGATAATTTCAATTCCTTGGCATTTACTTAAGTGTGTTAAGTGAGCCAGTATATGGTCTATTTTGGAGATTATCCCATGTGCAGCTGAGAAGAATGTGTATTCTGATGTAGTGGGTTGGGACACTCCATAGACAGTTATTAGGTCCATTTTTTTCAAAAGACTGATTTAGTTCTAATATTTTAGTATTGATTTTTTTGTCTAGTTGATCTGTCTTGTTGTGACAGTTGAGTATTGAGGTCTCTCAATACAATTGTATTAGGCTTATTTGATTTTTCATGTCTGTTAGTAATTGCTTGATATAGATGGGAGCACTGGTATTTGTTGTATATATAGTTATGATTATTATCTCTTCCTCTTGAATTGTGCCCTTTATGAGAATGTAGTGACCTTCTTTCTATCTCTTAGTCAGTCTTGGCTTGAAAATCAGCTTTTCTTCAAATCTAATAGCTACCCTTGTTTTTTTCTGGGTTCCTGTCACACAGAGTATTGTTTTCCATCCTTTGACTTTCAGTCTGTGAATTTCCTTTTGAATTAAGTGTGTTTCTTGTATGCAGCATGTTGTTGGATCTTGCTTCTTGATCCATTCTGCTAATCTGTGTCTCCTGACTAGTGAAATGAAACCATTAACATTGATGGTTATATCTGATATGTATTGACTCATTCTGGTCATGTTATTTTCCTGTTGTTGTCACCCTCACCCTGTCCCCCAATCGTTTCTCTTTCCTGGTTTATTACTTCTGTTGTGGTTCATGGATCTGTAGTTCTTATTTTTTCTTTCTAGAATATCCTTCAGAAAACTTTAGAGTGCTATTTTGGTGATCATAAGTTTTCTCAGATGATCTGTGTCATGGAAGTATCTTTCTTCTGCACCAACTTTGAAAGATAATTTTGCAAGATACATCAATCTGGGTTGGAAGTTGTTTTCCTTTAGAACTTGGAGCACTTCCTCCAAGCTCTTCTTGACTTAGGAGTTTGTGCTGGGAAATCAGCTGTGATTCTGATTGGCTTTCCTTTATAGGTAATTGGTTTCTTTCCTCTAACAGCTTTTAAGATTCTATTCTTGTGTTGAATTTCTGGAATCTTGACTATGATATGCCACGCTGTAGATTTTCTTTTTCACCATGTGTGAGACCACGCATCCCTGGCTGCTACACAGGCATGGCAGACAGGTATAGTTAAGAAACATCTTTGCTTTGAACAGGAGGAATGAAAGCACAGCACTTTACAGCCATGTTGTAGTCTGAATCCTGCTCGGGCTGTAGATTTTTTAAGACCATTGCTAGTTGGAGTTCTCTATGCCTCATTTATCTGCATGTCAAATTCTTTTTCTCTACCAAGAAAGTTTTCTGTCGTGATGTCTGTGAACATTTTTTAATGTAATATGTGGTATCTCCTACTTGTTCATGACTCCAGTAAATTTTATATTATTCTTCTTTGTCTCATCTAGCAGCTGCTGGATTACTTTCTTGTTGTCCCTTGCTATTTATGAGAAGTCTTTCTTTTCCTGGTCGCTAATGGCAAGCCTGTCTTCAGTCCCCTGAGATCCTGTCCTCACATTGGCCTAATCTGCTTCAAATATATTCAGTGGAGTTTTTATTCTCCTAGATATCTGCTTGAATCTGCTTTATGGATTCCATTTCCTTCCTATGCTACACTTCTATAGTTGCTAAACCTCATCTGTCTTGTTTTGTTTTGTGGTATTTTGTTTTGTTTTTTTTCTGTGTCTGCTCTGACATTGCTAAGCAAGGTGTGTATTTTGGTAATCTCTGTAGTTATCTAGGAGATCATTTCTAATTTAGGTTTTTTCCAGAGCCTCATTCAATTGCTTTGTTTCTACTTCAGAGAGACCTAGTGAGGGGCTTTTTAGATTGTCCAACCTCATTGCCCCTGGATTTGCCTTTGGTTAACTGGATGTCTGAGGTTGCATTTTGCTTAAGTGTCTTCTCATTTTATTTTCTCTCCTTTTCTTAGTTTAATTCCTGGAGTGACGCTTGTAAGTTGCCTGTGGTACATTGCTTTTTTGGTAGTAGTTAGGACTCTTATGTGATGATTACTTTTCTGAGGTATCTTCCAGGTATAGCTGGGTTGTGGGTTTTGAGTCTGTTGGAAGATCTTAACTCTTCAGTATGTTGGAGATGAGAAGTTGTTGCTTGTTTGGCCCAGTCCTATGTTGTTTGGTACTGTGCCACTGTATTTTCTATGATCCTTAGTTAATCTAAGTCTTGGATTTTCAGGACCAACAGCTGTTTAGAACAGTTATATCAATTTTGGCTATACTGGTACCAATAGCATCAAATAGCCTAGAAAGCAACAAACTGAGCTAACCCTTAATGTGCAACTTTTAACTGTATGAACTAGATTTATGATTACATAACATAATATAAAACAAGCAAGATAATTATATGTAATGTGTCAATTTTGCCCTTGGGGTTAAAACTTAAAATGGATTAAGGAGAAAGTAGCGAAGTGGAAGAGACAGAGATTACAAGTAATATTGGAGGACAAAGGAGGATCCTGCCAACTTGGAGAAACTGGTGCAGGAGACTGAGGGATAAGAGAGATGGAGAGATAAAAGGAAGAACAGAACAGAACAGAACCACACGCACAAAGAGGTTAGGAACCACTTTAACACTCATAAAAAATGTAGAAGACAAAGAAGAGAAACAAACTTTTAAAAATGAAAAAGGAAAAGAAAAAGAAATAGTGCATTTCCAGGATCCTCTCTCATTTCACTACCTGAAACCTGACAGCCTGTAGAGACAGAGTCCCGAATCTTGCCACTCTATCCCCGTAAGCCAGCATTTGCTTTATGGCAGAGTAAATATACCCTCAGCAGACCTGCCCTGAGACCAGACTTATTGGCCTTGCCACAGTCTTAAGCTTTTTTCCATGGGAGGTGCCCAGCTAGGAGCCACTAGAGGAAGTCAGCAGCCAGATGTTCGGGTTTATCCGGCCCATCTCCAAAATGGCTCCTGGCTAATCTCCCTCTCCCCATAGGAGGACTAAGTGCTCTGTACTCACCTCCAGCCAGTGCAGTCCTCCATGTGCGTTGCTGTTCTCCACTGCTACATCTCCCTGCAGAGGCTTCTGGAGTTACCAGCTGTCACCATCACCATGTCTGTGAATCCCCAGGTTCAAATAGCTGTCTTTGCGAAAGTGGCACTGGCTACTGCCTTCTTGTTCCTTGAAGTTTTTCTTTTTACTCTCTCTGTGGACTTCAATTCCCCCTTCAGATTCTTCCTGAGTCCATGGGATTGACCCCCTTGCTTCCTTTTTGTTCTCACAATGTTATATCCCAGCATCTTGATGGTGACCTTCAGAGAGGCTGTTTTCTCTGCTGTTTACTACTCTACCCTAAGTAAACATTTAAAAGGATTCAAGTCAAATAATATATTCTTTCACCACCATGGAATTAAATTAATCAATAGCTGGAAAATAACACATTTCTGAATAACACAAGTCAAAGAAGAACTCAGAAACACTATAGCAAATAGTCTGAATGGAATGGAAAAATGCTTTGGTGGGGGGACTAGGGTGAAAGCCATGCCCCTTACAAGGTGGGGACCTTGTAAGCCAGCCAGCATCCCCAACACCCAAGCCCTGCAAGCAATAGACTGATTTGGAGTAACCTGGAGATGATGACAACTGAAATAAAGAAACAACCTAAAGTTTCTATTGGTTGATTGACTGCAGGCCTAAATCCAGTGGTCTGAGCACCTATTTAGAAGATGCAATATGCAATAGAATAACTATGGTACATTCCCTACTGTCTTACTTTTGAAATATAGTATCAGGTTCTCTTATTTCATTTTATTCTGTTTTATTCCCTTTAAAATAACATTTAAAAACATAAGTGTTAAGTAAGTATGAGAAGCAAAATTTAAAATACAGAGATAAATTAAGAACTAGAGAAAATCATTGAAACCAAAAGCTGGTTCTTTAAGAAAATAAAAAATAAATAAGTTTCTAGTGAGTCTGACCACCCCCCAAAGACAAAAATCAAATTACCCTTATCGTAAGTGAAAGAGATGATACTAAAATGGAGTCTACAGATATTAAGATATAATGGAATAGCATGAGCAACATTATGCTAATAAATTGAACAAGAAAAACAAAATGGTTGAATGCCTTTAAAACTCACACCACCAAGGCATATTTAAGAAGAATGAATTGTTTACAATTAAATAAATTTTTAAATAAATTTAATTTGCAGTTAAATACACTTTTATGAAGAGAACTCCAATCCCAGACAACTTCACCTATAAATTCTTACAAACCTTTAAAAGAAAAATACTACTGCTACACAAATTCCTACCAAGAAATGGAGTGGAAACGAGATATCAACCAATAACAAATGCCCGAGGGGCTGTGGGGAAAAAGGAATTCTCCACTGTTGGTAGGAGTGTAGACTGGGGCAACCACTAGAGAAATCAGTATGGAGATTCCTAAAAAAAACTAGGGCTACCATTGCCATTCAATCCAGATATTCCCCTTCTGGGTATCTTCCCAAAAGAATTAGAAACATCATACCACGGCAATATATGTGTACCCATGTTTATAACAGCACAATTTGTAATAGCCAGATCTTGGAAATGACCTAAACATGCATTGACTAAAGAATGAATAAAAAAGATGTATTTTTCTACAATGGAGTACTACTTAGCCATAAAGAAGAATAAACTGGAGACTTTTATAGGTAAATGGATGCAACTTGGGACCATACTCATAGTGAAATAAATCAGACACATGTAAACATAGTATTGTCTCACTGGTGTGAGAAGCTGTAACAGCATTATATATGTGTGTATGTATATTAGTTAAGATTTTTTAAAAATTAATGTAGAAAAAACCCTTTCCTCTTTTGAGTTGTGGATAGCTAGCATTTTGTCTTTAAAAAAAAAGAAAAGAAATAGATTGGAGAGAAGAGTTCTCAGCTCATTCTGTGAAGCCAGCATTATCCTGGTACCAAAACCAGACAAACACAGAAGAAAACTACAGACCAATATCCTTCATAAAATATATATGCCAGTAGGGCTGGGGATATAGCTAAGCAGCACAAGCACCTGCCTGGCAAGCACAAGGTCAGGAATTTGATTTCCAGTACAAAAAAAATTATATATATATATATATATATATATATATATATATATAACCCGTGTCTCAAAATATAAAAAATCTGGGAATGTAGCTCAGTAGTAGGACTAACACAAGGAACTGGGTTCAATGCCTAGTATCAAAAAAAAATCCAATATAAACTGTCCAAAGGATATAAAAATAAGAAAGAAAAATTGCGTTTCTTTTTGTGGACTTTAAAAAGTATCATTACATTAAAAAGATGCATTTTTATGCAATGGAGTATATTCAGTTATAAAGATTGCATCAAGTCCTTTATAAGTAAATGGACACAACTTGAGACCATACTCATAAGTGAAATAAATCAAACACACATGTGTAAATACCGTATAGTCACTGTAGTGTAAGAAACTGAAAGAGCAAATACGATCCAAAATCTATAATAAATATTTGTAAGGATAAGAAACTATTTAAAGGGGAAAAAGGATTGGGATAGGGGAAAGGAGGAAAGAAGGAAGAGAAAAGGACAAAGACATAAATTTGTGTGTATATATATGTAAGATAGCTAAGATTACTATACTAATTGAATTAGTTCTTGGAATAGAACAGTTAATACTCATGATTAGATCAATTCTACATGTCTGTATCTGGTAATATAAGCAACCCTTTTGAAGCTAATATACAGTATTACAACCATTGTTACATTCCTATCATCTTGTTTTGAAAACCTACACTGTTACTGTTTTGGATTTATAGTGTTTCTCTCTTTTGCTTGGTGTGTTTTCTGTGTCTCTTAAAAAATCACAAAAAAAAGTATCATTACATAAAAATAGCTTTACTTATAGTTATGAGAAGAAAGAACGTAATTACAAGAAAAAGAAGAGCTTTTTGATATGAAGGAAATATTTTGCATTTACTTACTATTTAAAAATAGCAAGTAAAAAAATCATCAAGAGCTTGGGATAAAGCTCAGCAACACAGTGCCTGCCTGACAAGCGCAAGGTCCTGAGTTCAATTCCCAGTTCAGTACCCAGTATCATCAAAGACTTCCAGGAAGATTACTAAGTAGTGAGCAGCAGAAAAAGAACCTCTCTGAGATTTAGTGTCCAGACGGCAGAATATAGCAACCTGAGAAGAAGGAGGGAGGTGGGTCCCCAGGACCCAGTAATGATCTGAAGCA